ACAGACATTTGGTATAGTAGATAAGATACCAATTCTGATGGTCACATCCCATATCAGAGTGCCAGGGTTCAAGTCTATTCCCACTGCAGCTTCCTTCTAATGCATGTCCTAGCAGATGATGTTTCAAGTGTTTGGGTTCCAGCCACTGATGTGAGCTTCCAATGGAATTCCTGGCTCCTGGCTTTGGTCTGGCCCAGCCATAGCTTTTGGGATCATTGAGGAGTGAACTAATAGAAGAATAATCTCTCTATCTCTCTGCTTTTCAAGTAAATAAAAATAATAGAAGTTATAGCCAGGAATCTTTTTTATAATTATTTTATTTTGCTAATCTTTTTTTTAAAGATTTATTTTAATTGCAAAGTCAGATATACAGAGAGGAAGAGAGACAGAGAGAAATATCCTTCTTCCAGTGATTCACTCCCTAAGTGACCACAATGGCCGGTACTGCGCCGATCTGAAGCCAAAGCCAAGAACTCCCCCGGGTCTCCCATGTGGGTGCAGGGTCCTAAGGCTTTGGGCCGTTCTCAACTGCTCTCCCAGGCCATAGGCAGGGAGCTGGATGGGAAGTGGAGCTGCTGGGACCAGAACCAGCGCCCAATGAGATCCTGGCACATTGAAGGCGAGGACCTCAGCAGCTAGGTCATGGTGTCGTGCCTTATTTTGATAATCTTTACCAAGAATCTTACAATAGCCTATTTATTGGAAACAGAATAAAACTTCATGTAAATAAAATATTGACATTTCCTGAGTATAAATTGTCACAAAAAGTTAACTTGAATTATTTTAGATTAGCCAAGGAGAGGGAACAGTATTAACAAGTTTGAAGTGATCATAGCATGACTGAGTTTTAGAGAGTTGATGAGTCACCTTGCATCTTCTGTTGACAGCACGTTTAGCTCATGGATAAGGACTCAAGCAAAGGTAAAAGTGAGTTATCAAATAAGGATAACATCCTAGAAAACCTAAATTCTTTTTTAAAGATGTTTTTATTCATTTACTTTTACACTTGAAAGTCAGAATTACAGAGAGACAGCGACAGAGAGATCTTCTATCCACTGTTCACTCCCCAAATAGCTGCCATGACCAGAGTGAGCTAGTCTGAAGCTGGGGAGTAGGAGTTTCTTCCAGGTCTCCTGGGGAAATAGATGTCTGTTACCAGGGCCATGAGCTGCTCCCTCAGGGCTCTGCCCATTGAGCACTGGCTCTCATTGTGTGATCATACTCCAGAGCGCAGGGGTGGAGGTGGGGGGCATGGGGTGAGGTCATTGGAGAGAGCCTGTAAGCCTGGAGGACCAGAGCAGAGGTGTGGCAACGCCTGCCCACCACAGCAGCCTGACCACTGGGTTGTTTCCACAGTCTTGTCTCTGCTTGGCGTCAAGTTCCTTTGTGCGCCAAGATTGTGAAGGACTTGCACACAAATGCCCCTGACTGTGAGTGCCTCCTTTATCTGCCTTGTTTATTGTGCTAAGAACATTTACTTTTACTCACTGTGAGGATGAAGGGGCACTTTGAGACATTGACCACTAAGAGTTCCTCCAAATAGGATGATAAGCAGGGCTAGGCGCCTTGGCTCATCCGTTCCCTATTTGTTCAGTTGACTAGAGGGCCCAAATGATGAGGTGGGGACTGAGGTCTTCTTAAAAAAAAAAAATGAGGTTTGGTAATGAGCCAATTCCTCCAGATTATAAAATGATGACAGAGTAGTGACTATGGCTTCTGTTGCCTCATCATCTTTAGAGTGTTCTCTTTCCCTCCATCCATTCTGTCTCCTTTTTCATCATCCATCTCAGGATCTGCCTACTACACACACACATACAAGTCACTATCGGTTACCTGGCCCAGGACAGTCCAAAACTTTCTTACAGTTTTTGGTAGGTTAGCTGAAGCCAAGCTGGACTGTTAAGCAGGACTCTACTGAGGGTGTGACTATGACAGAAGAAAGACTGATAGCCAGGTTGTCAAGGTGGCGAGGTGCCGGATGCTCTCTTGAGCCATGGATCTCCAGTAGGATCACCCGAAAAGCAGACCTGTTTTCCTTCTCTCCCTCTCTTTCTTTCTCAAGAAACAAAAGGGGCAAGTCCTGAAACTTCCATGGATTTCAGAATTCAGTGTATGTTCTCTCTCCTCCAAATTCTTACACTTGAGATATATCTTTGTTAATACACAGTCTATCGTGTTGCTTTGTAGAAATTGGCATAGGGGTGCCCAGTGTGATGGTGCCGGAATCCCATATGGGCACTGGTTTGTGTCCTGGCTGCTCCACTTCCCATCCAGCTCCCTGCTTGTGGCCTAGGAAAGCAGTTAATCATGGCTCAAAGCTTTAGGACCTTGCACTGGCATGGAAGACCCAGAAGCGGTTCCTGGCTCTGGGAGTAAACCACCCCCAAAGGGAATAAACCAGCAGATGAAAGATTTTTTTGTCTTTCCTTCTCTCTGTAAATCTGACTTTTCAATAAAAATAAATCATTAAAAGAAAAAATTGGCATAGGGTCTGACTTTACAGCACAGTGAGTTGAGGCACAGCCTACGATGCAAACACTCCACATCAGCAGGCCAGTTTGAGCCCTCTGCACTGCATTTCCAGTCTGTCTCCCTGCTGATACACATGGGAAGGCAGCAGATCAGGACCCAAGTGTTCGAACCCCTGCCATCCACATTGAATACCCGGAGGGGATAGAAATACTCATGTAGTCACAGGGATTTATTTCTTTTCTTTATACTTGTCTTATCTTAGCCCTATGATTTATTTAATAACCATCTCATAAAACCTGATTTTGCCCTTCATTAATCTTTTTTTTAAAAGATTTATTCATTTTTATTACAAAGTCAGATATACAGAGAGGAGGAGAGACAGAGAGGAATATCTTCCATCCGATGATTCGCTCCCCAAGTGAACTCAACGGCCGGTGCTATGCCGATCCAAAACCAGGAGCCCGGAGCTTCTAGGTCTCCCACGCAGTTGCAGGTTCCCAAGGCTCTGGGCCGTCCTCGACTGCTTTCCCACAAGCAGGGAGCTGGATGGGAAGCAGGGCTGCCGGGATTAAAACTGGCATCCATATGGGATCCCAGGGCGTTCAAGGCGAGGACTTTAGCCGCTAGGCCACACCGCCAGGCCCTCATTAATCTTTTAATATCTTTTGAGAGGGAGACCTGTCACCCACTGGTTTGCTACCTGAATTTTTTTTAAGATTTATGTTACTTTTATTGTAAACATAGATTTATAGAGAGAAGGAGAGGCAGAAGGAAAAATCTTGGATCCGCTAGTTTACTCCCCAAATGATTGCAATGGCCAGAGCTGAGCCAATCTGAAGCTGGGAACCAAGAGTCCTCTGGGTCTCATGCAGTGCTGAATACCAAGGTTTTGGACCATCCTTCACTGCTTTCCCAGGCCACAAGAAAGGAAATAGATGAGAAGTGTAGCAGTGCCGGTGTGGGATGCCTGTGCCTATAGGTGAAGGATTAGTCAATAGAACCATTATTTGTCCCTGCTACCTAAATTGTGAGGACTGAGCTGTGATTGAAGATGGGTAGGGGTGAGAGATAATTGAAGAAAGAGATGATTGGACTAAAGCAGAGGAGGTGGAGGTACCTCCCTGCAGTGGCTTTGATGATTGGTCATCTCCACAGTCTAGGTGTCCTAGGTGTGTGGTGGGAACTATCACTGCTTCCTGCTGGGGTCTACAGCAGGAACAAATTGATATACTGAGCTGAACCCAGGTACCGCAATACAGGATATGGATGCCTTCACCACTGGGCTAAATGCCTCATCTTTGTTCCCTCTTTGAAGGCGTTGAATATTCTTGCATGTAGGAGGTAGCAGTAATACAGACCTGAGTCACAGTTTTCTTTGCTAAAGAATTTTTTTATTTTATTTTATCTGAAAGGCAGAGGCACAAACACAGGCAGAGAATGATTGACTGGGTCACCCTCCAGATGGGAAAGACAGGGCCAGGTCAAAGCAGGAGCTGGAGCTCAATCCAGAATTCTGAAACAGGTAGCAGAGACTTCACTTGCTGGAATCAGAAGTGGAGCTAGCCTTGGAGCCAGGGGCCCCAAGCTGTGTGTTAGTTGCTGTGTCAAATGACTGCCTCAAAGCTTATTTTTACGAATTAACTTCTTGGAATCTTCTTTCCTTAAGTTTCCTCTCCAAATGTTACCTAGCTCCTTACCCATTTTTCTGATCTTTCCATAGCCAGTTGCAAGTATATTCTTTGGTTCTATTTTTTGTTTATTTGTTCGTTTTCTTGCAAGTATATTTTTAATGGCTCTCTGATTTCTGGATCTTTTTTTAAAAAAAATTTTGTTCATTTGAAAGGCAGAGTTGCAGACAGGAGAGACATAGAAAGAAATAGAGACAGAGAGAGAATAGATATGCTTCCATGTGCTGTTTGCTCTCCAAAAAATGGCCACTTGGGCCAGGCCAAAGCAAGGAGCCAGGAACTTCATCTGGGTCTTCCATGTGGGTGGCAGAGGCTCAAATACTTGGGTCATTTTCTGCTGCTTTCCCAGGTATGTTAGCCAGGAACTAGATTGGAAGTAGAGCAGCTTGGACTGGATCCAGCGCCATCTTCTTGTTTGTTTATTTTAAATGTATTTATTTGAAAGGCAGAGTGCCAGGATATGAGAGATGCCTGGCCAGGGCTGGGCTAGATCAAAGCCAGGTAGATCTCTCACATGGATGACAGGGATGCCAATCACTTGGCCGGCCCATAATCTGCCACCTTACCGGGAGAATCAGCAAGATGCTGGACTGGAAGCCAAGTAAGCAAGACTGTCACCGCCACCCCAGAATGAGGTGCAGGTATCCCAAGCAATAGTTTAAGCAGCTGAGTCATGATAACAATATGGGATTTTCTTCTTCTTTATTTTTAGGAAACTTTGAGAGTAGAAATAATATGTATAATGTAGCATCTCTCCTGTATGCTAATAGTTGATTAACGACCTTGCCCAGTACTTGGGAACTTTGTCCTTTGCTGAGATCTTGTGTTTTCTTGTTACAGGAGCATGACATAGAAACAACTCATGGTGTGGTCCATGTGACTATAAGAGGCTTACCAAAGGGAAACAGACCAGTTATACTGACATATCATGACATTGGCCTCAACCGTATGTATTTGATGGATTTTACATTTTTATTTTTCTTCATGATCTTTGTGTGCATTTTCAAAAACAAAAATGATAAGTAGTATTCTATCAGAATAGTGTTTTTCCCTTTCTGTCTTAACCTTCCCTCTGAATTGTTATATTCATGAATGACATGTTTATAGTTCATCAGGAGTGTGCATAACTGTGTTTTGGGGGATACTAAAATTATATTTTACCTTTGTATCATATATCTCAAGCACTGAAAATTTTGCAGTGAAATGATTAGGAAAACACAACTGAATTTTTTTCCAAGTGTGTGTTCTGATGTTTTTGTGTTTCAGGTTATAATGAAAATCCAGAGTTTGAACTTAAATATCTGTGAGCTTTTCAGGGATTTAGAGATAGAGACAGAGAGAACACTCTGCCATGTGCTAGAGAATTATCTGTTCTTTGCTATAAGCCTCTTTACTATAGTCTTCATCAGTTGACTTAAGTGTGCTTCTCTTGGAGGTACAGGTTGAGCATTCCTCATAACTAAATCCAGAATGCTCCAAAATCCAACACTGGGGGTTGATTCCAAAAGTGGAAAAGTTCCACACCATCATTTTGGTTGCCTTTAACTTGAGAGGGAGAAAGAGAACAACTGAGACATTATCCATCTCCAAATGCCCACAACAGCCAGGGCTGGACCAGAACTTAGGTTGGGAACTGGAACATCAGTCACAGAATTTTGCATCCACTAGTTTACCACTGGTTCACTCAGCCCCTTTGTTTGTAAAACATGATGAATATCATGATTTAGACTTTACTACATCTTTAAGATATCTCATTGTAAATTTGCATATATTCTGAAATCCAGAAATTACAAGATTTGAGATACTTCTGATCCCAGCATTTTGACTATAGAATTCTGGCTCGAACCACTAGCATGTGAAGTGCACAGACACGTGTTTTTATTTACGGTGGCTTTTAGAGATGGCCTGTGTTAGAGTCAATAGTGCTGGAACTTGTATGGCCACTTTAATATGGAGAGCACGTTAAAAATTTAGATAAGAGGGTTAAAACCAAAGCTGCAACCCTTCCCAAGACTGTAGCCGTTTTGCCAGGAGACGCCAGATTCTCCTTTGGTCCATGTAAGCAGCTCAAGAGACTCCTCCTCGTCAGCCAGGCTCCTGGAGTGCAGTCAGTGTCTGTGTCAGACAGGAGAGTAAGAGGCACGAGAAAGAAGGGCATTAGGAGTGTAAGCAGATTCTGTGCAATACCAAGAGGCTAATACACATTGGCTGAATATTTCTACTTTGGATGTTGTGTGTATTTGAGACTGGTTATTTTCAAGTAACTGAGATGTTTCTTTCAGCCTTCAGGACAACTTGAATCAGAGGGAATGTTCTCAGACCTCACTTTAGTTGAAGTGAAAGATGACAGTGACGGGCTTTAGGACAGAGAGAATGGGGGAAGACATGGAGTGCCTGTGACTTACGGGTTCTTTTACTCTTGTAGATAAGTCCTGTTTCAATGCATTCTTCAACTTTGAGGATATGCAAGAGATCACGCAGCATTTTGCTGTCTGTCATGTTGATGCGCCTGGCCAACAAGAAGGGGCACCCTCCTTCCCAACAGGGTAAGGCCACAAGCAGGATTTGCTGGGAGACAAACTTTCAGAGAGCAGTGAACTCCAGGGGGACACACAGAGAGCTGTGACTCTAGGGAGGACACAGCCTGTACTTTCCTCCCACTCAGTTCATCCCAGCCCCTGGGTTAGACTTAACAAGCAGCCATCAATGTTGTTCTTTCCTTGTTCTGAGAGGCCTGCTGGACAGCCCACTGAGGGAAACTGAGTATTTTCTCCATCCAAGAGTAGTTTGCTTGTCAGTAGGGACCTGCTTCCCTATTGTCACAGAACATACATGTCAGGAACACTCGCTGTGGTCTGTCTTCTTTCTTCCTCATCAGTTTTAAATCTGACATTTCTAACCTGAAACTCCAGCTACCCAACCCCTCAACTCAGATCCCTCTGAACTTCCCTGCAAGCAGCTCTTTAGCTCTCGATCCTGGCTTAGGAATTGAATCTGCCCTGACGGAGCCCTCATCTTCGTCCTAAGCCTGCATGGGCTCACTGCCTACTCCCTGGCCTGCATGCTTGTTGTGAGACCCTGAGAGTTGGAGTGAGTACGTGCTGATCTCCAGAGTTGCCTCGGACTAGTGGCTGCTGTGAAACAGACTGTTACAGACAAGGAATTGTTAGAAATTGCTATGCAATCATTGTCCCACACACTTCCTTCAAATACTTAGCATTTCTTAGCCTATTTTTTTTTGTTTTGAAACATGGAGAGGGAGAGAGAAATGTCATCCACTGTTTACCTCTCAAATACCTGCAGTAATCATGGCCTAGCCAGACTTAAGCTAGGAATCCACATAAGTGATTTCCTAGGGTCTCCCACATGAGTTGCAAAAATCCAGGTACTTGGGCCTCTCCAGTTACACGTTAGCAGGAAACTGATGTTGGAAATTAAACTGGGACTCAAACCTAGGCACCTTCTTATGGGATGTTACTATTTCAAGCAGTGCATTAACCACTGCACCAAACACCTGTCCATATTAGCTGATACTCATCACAAAGCAAAAAATAAGTATTGTTATTCCTATTTTAGAAGTAGACCCACCAAACTAAGCCCACCTCCAAAAAAAATTAAGTAACTTGACTAAAGTTACATAACAAATAGCACAGCAAAAATTTGAACCCAGGAAATCTAGTACAAATTCTGTGTTGTGAGGCCAGCATGGTGGTGCAGTGGGATAAACTGTGACCTGTGACTCTATTATCCCATATCAGAGTACTGAGTTATTCCACTTTTACTGGCTATTCCACTTTCCTGCTAATGTGGGAAAGCAACAAATGATGTTTCAGCAACTTGGGCCTCTGCCACCCACATGGGAGACCCAGACAGAGTTCTTGGCTCCTGGCTTTAGTCCAGCCTAAACACTGGCTATTGGTAAGCACTAGGGGAGTGAGCCAACAGGTGAAAGATCTCTGGCTCTCGCTTAAAAGAAAAAAAAAAATCTCTGCTGTTTTCAACTTACATCTCTGAAAATTGCCAGTGACTCATTTATATACAACAATTCACGGATCTAGGGACAGGCATTGTGGCACAGCAAGTTAAGCCACCATGTTCGATGTCAGCATCGCACATCAGAACCCTGCTTTGAGTTTGAGTCCCAGTTGAGTCTGTTTCTGATTGAGCTTCCTGCTAATGTTACCTAGGAAGACCATGGAAGATGGTCTGAGTAGTTGGGGTCCTGCCATCCACATGGGAGACCTGTCTGGCATGACCTGGCTATTACTGCCATTTGGGAAATAAATCAGAAAATGAAAAATCTTGAAAGATAGGGAGAAACATACAGAGAGAGATTTTCTGCCACAACAGCTAGGTCTGATCAGGCCAAAGCTAGGGCCAGGAACTCCATCTGAGTCTCCCACATCAACACCAAAGATTCAAGTACTTGGGTCATTATCTGGATTGGAGGCAGAACAGCTAAGACTCAAACTAACACCCCAGTATGGGAGGCCAGCACCATAAATGGTAGCTTAACTTGCCACTGTGATGGCCCCTTAAATAAATTAAAATTTTTTTTAATATCTAGATCTTTTATCTGTTTTATGCACAAAATGGTTCAAGAGCATTTGATCCACTGAAGTGTTGGATCAGAGACAGACTGACTCCCTGTAAGATCCTACTTCCTGTATCGGCAGTCACCTCATAGTCCCTTCCACCACTGATCTTTGTGGGTGCTCCTGCTTTTCTAGGGTTCCTGCTCTAGGTCCATTTCTGAACTTACCCTGAGCATTCTCATTCAGATGTTGCATGACACGTATCAAATTCAAAAACAGTTAATCAAATAACGTTATCCTATGTGTAACTAAAAGAAGCAAATACCTGTGGTGAGGAGCCTAATTTGTAACTGTGTTCCCAGATCCAGTCAAACTTACTCTGTTTTTCATTGGCTACCCAAATATAAGCAGAAGACCAGGAACCCCACCACCTGAGCTGATTTACTACTGGGAATTGCCTGAGCCCAGGCCCCCACTGAAGTGATTGCTAAGGATTTCGTAATGGCCTCAGAGAAAGCCACATTCACAATGTGGCTTCCTCTGGTCCCAGAGGCATGTGGTTCTTTGGGTTTTTTTCTTAGCACAGCAGTGGTACAAAATTACACAATGTGGCATGATCGACTGGATCCAAGCACTCTATCTCCACCTGCAAACCCCAGATGAAAGGAATGCTTTTCTCTAACACTGTTATACTTCCCCAGCTTTCTAGGAACTCAGAACCTGCGTGCTTTTTAATCCAGGAGATGCCCTCTAATCTTCTATTTCAGGTACCAGTACCCAACGATGGATGAGCTGGCTGAAATGTTGCCTGCAGTTCTGACCCACTTAAGGTAGATCATTCTTGAGTATAATCGCACAGTTTTGTGCCATTTTTTGTTCATCCCAGAGGATACAGCTGTGAACAAGACAGAATAGTATCTATCATGGAATCAGTGGGGAAAACAGCAATTAAACCAACAGTCATAACAAGGTGGAACATTGAGATAAGGAACAAGGGCGAGATGACCTAGGCAAGGCCAGTGAGGAGATGTATCTCTCAGAGTGTGTCATCCTGGTTGAGCTGCCTAAACAGAGTCCAACCTGGGCCAGAGGCTCTCCAGCAGAGCAGTTAGGGCAAGTAGTAGAAGGGCAGATGCTTAGATTACTCCAGTCCAACAGGTCACATAAGAATTGGCAGTTGTATTCTAAGTGTATAAAAAGGATCTTGAACAGGGCAGTGACATCCTAAGTATGTGTATAGTATAGCAATAAACCCACTTAAATTCTCTTAAAAGGCTGACTCTCTTTGTGGAGTAGTTTGGAGCAGAGTGAGAGAAAAAAAAAAAGCAGAGAACAGTGAAACTGTTGATACAGTCTAGACGAGAGGTAACGATAACTTCATTCTTGCTCCTACCAAGATGAATTGAAAGGGGAGGGAAGACAGAGTGTTCCTCACATGAACATTGCAAGACTTGCTGATGACTTAGATGTTGGGTGAAAGGGATCAGGGGATGGCTCCCAGGTTTCAGTCTTAACATTCAGACCAATTTAAAAGTGAGGGATAACACCCTTATTTTAGAGATAGGGAACTGAGCTCAAAGAGTTTAAGAAAAAAAAAACTTGACAGATTTCTCACATGTAGTAAATGTCAGAGCCAGGATATGAACCCAGATTGTTTTCTCGGTTTCACGATGTTGTCTGCGAATGAAGCTGTGCGCTGATTGTCCACGTGTCCCATTCACAGCCTGAAAAGCATCATTGGGATCGGAGTTGGAGCTGGCGCTTACATCCTCAGCAAATTTGCAGTAAGTATGCCGAGGCAGTTCTTGCCTTACAATTGTCACTACTGTATGAAACGGCCAGGTACACTTCTGGGTCTTGTGTATTTCTGGAAATTCTTTCAGTTCCAGTTAAAGGTCTGCATAAAACTTTGTACTTTAGGTTCAAAGTTTGTACTTTAGGTTGAGGGTAGTATGTTGTGATTAAAAGATAAGATGTAGATAAGTTTGCAGGTTTGGCTTAGGCGTAATGATTGAGCCACTACTTGAGAAGCCAGCATTCCATCTCAGAGTGCCTGGGTTTAAATCTCAGCCTCACTTCCAGCTCGTTTCCTGCTGATGTGCACCCTGGGGGAATACATGTGATGGCTCATGTCCTTGGGTCCCTATCATTCATTCATATGGGAGACCTGAATGGAATGCCTGGCTGCTGGTTTTGGCTCAGCCCTAACCCTGGTGGAATCTAGGGAGTGGACCAGCAGATAAGAAATCTCTCTGTCTTTGTCTCTGCCTTTCAAATAAAAATAAAGAGAGATAGGGAGAAAATCTTCTGTTTGCTGATTCACTCTCCAAATGGCTGCATCAGCTGAAGCTGGGACTATCCAAAGCCAGGAGCCAGAAGCTTCTTTCAGATGCCCTACACAGTGCCTAAGCATTTGGGCAAGCCTCCACTGCTCTTCTAGGTGCAATAGCAGGAAGCTGGATCAGAAATGCAGCAGATGGTATTCAACGTGCCTCAGGCATGGGAGGCCAGTGCTACAAGTAGAGGCTTAGCCTATTCAGCCACAGCAACAGCCCCTAAAATAAAATTTTTTAAAAATTACAGATTTTTAAAAATTTATTTAAAAGCCAGATTTTACAGATGGAGAAGGAGAGACAGAGAGAGAGGTCTCTAATCTACTTGTTCACTCCCAAATGGCCACAGCGGCTGTAGCTGAGCCAAAGCTAGGAGCCAGGAGCTTCCTCTGGGTTTCCTACATTCGGGTTACCAAAGAACCCAAGTCATCCTCTGTTGATTTTCCAAACTGTAAGCAGGGAGTGAATCAGAAGTGGAGCAGCTGGGACATGAACTGGTGGCTATAAGCAATGCCATTGCTGAATGAAGGTGGAGGATAAGCCTGATATACCACCACGCCAGCCCCTAAAGTAAATATTTTCTTAAAAAAATAAGGTGGGTAGGGCCAACTTGTGCTAGCATCCCATATGATTGCTGGTTCAAGTCCTGGGTGTTCTACTTCCGTTCTGTTACTGCATCTAGGAAGGCAGCATAAGATGATCCCAATACTTTGGCTCCTGGCACCCGCATGAAGACCCAGATGAAGCTCCATGCTGCTGGCTTCAACCTGGTCCAGCCCTAACCATTCTAGCTGTTTGGTGAGAGAGCCGATGGATAAAAGATCTCTGTGTTTTTTTCTGGCTCTCAATCTCTGTAACTGCACCTATCGAATAAATAAATAAATCATTTTTAAAAGTTAAATATGGGTGGGCACACCTAACTCGTATTGGAGTACTTGATTAGAGTCTGGGCTCCTCTGCTTCCACTGTGGCTTTCTGCTAATGCACCTGAGAGACAACAGATGATGGCCCAGGTGCTTGGGTTCCTGCGATCCCTGAGGGAGACCCAGTTAGAGTTGTTGGCTCCCAACATCAACTTGGTCCAGCCCTGGCTGTTGAACCTTTGGGGGAGAGAACCAGCAGATGGAGGATCTCTTCTCTCTGTCACTTCATCCTTGAAATAAATTTTTTTAAAAGAGAGCCTGAAATTATACATAATTTATATATAATAGAATTAGTTTTCTTAAAAAGTTAGACTATAGGTTCACACTAACTTTGTCATAAACACAGAAAAGAACCAGGAAGGAAATATATCAAAATGTGAACAGGGTTGATGTGTGGTAAAATAATTGTGAGAATTTATTTCCTTCTGCTTCTGGGGTCTCCTTTTTTCAAGAGTAGGGATTATCAGTGTCTTTGGAGGTTGTTTTCAGGAGCTTGCTTCTAACAGAATACCTCCTGCATGATAGGAGAATCAGCGCCTGCTGACATGGTTTCATAATAAAGCTGGAGAAGCCCTTCCTGGGAACAAGGGACTCTAACACTGTTGGTTTGTTTCAATTTTCAGCTCAATCACCCAGAACTTGTGGAAGGCCTGGTGCTCATCAACGTGGACCCATGTGCTAAAGGCTGGATTGACTGGGCAGCCTCCAAAGTGAGTATCAACTGTGGGTTGCTGTCCTGCTGTCAGCCCATCTCCTGGGCCCTTCTCAATACAGCATGTCTTCTGTGTATTTGTATTATATATATGTATATATATATATATGTATGTATTTCCCCCCCACACACCACAGAAACTTCTCTGAAATAACTTTATTCTCACTTCCCTCACCTCAGATTTTTTTAAAAAGATTTATTTTTATTACAAAGTCAGATATAAAGAGAGAAGGAGAGACAGAGAGGAAGATCTTCTGTCCGATGATTCACTACCCAAGTGACCGCAGTAGCCGGTACTGAGCCAATCCAAAGCCAGGAGCCAGGAACTTCTTCAGGTCTTCCATGCGGGTGCAGGGTCCCAAGTCCTTGGGCTGTTCTTGACTGCTTTCCCAGGCCTCAAGCAGGGAGCTGGATGGGAAGTGGAGCTGCTGGCACGTTCAAGGCGAAGATTTTAGCCACTAGGCCACCACGCCAGGAATTCACTTCCCTCACCTCAGACTTTTACCTGATGTTAAACAAAAGAATTGGAATCACATACCAAAAAATGTATTTTTTGGTCTAACTTTGTTTCCTGTTGTGTTTTAGAAATTCAGTGACAATAAAAAAAATTTTTAATAAAAAAAAAAAAAAAGACAGTCAGTGACTTCCATTTGCTGGCTTGCTTTGCAAAACCAGGAACTCAATACAGCTCTCCCATTCGGTGGAAGGCTTCAGTTGATTGAACCATTGCTATTGGTTCTCAAGGTCTTCATTAGCAGCAAGCTTAAGACAGGAACCTAAGGCAGATATTGAACCCAGAAACGCAGTACAAGACTTGGGCATATACTTTTTAAGATTTATTGGGCCCAGCACAATAGCCTCAGCCTGACCCAGCCTGTCATTGCAGGCATGTAAGGAATGAAGGGGAACTCTGTTTATGTCTCTCTTTTGTCCTTGGTCGTTCTTGGATTATATGATCCTTGTCTGTTCTCCTCTCCCTCTTCTTTTCTGTCCTGTAACTCAGTGTTTCACCCCTGACTAGAATCAAGTTAAGCATGAAACCGAGGGAAGGGGCTGAAAGGAAGTTATCAACCTCATTTGAGTTTGGTAATCTTTCTGGAAGTAGACTAATAGCCTGCAGTATTTGCACAAAGCATTACATGTAATAGACTAGGAGATGCATCATTTTGAAATGGGTGGAATTAGGAGAAAAATGCTCAAAATGCAGCAGCATAGCCTTTTCCTCCCACTTTCTGAAATGAAGATAGCAAAAACTAAGAGTTTTTCTGTTTTTTTGTGTGTCTTGGATGCCTCGAGTGTTTCAAGGCATCCAGAGCGAAGGCAGAAACAGGCAGGAGTGATGCAGCAAATAGCCTCCTGTTCAGGCTGTTACATTTTCAAAGAAATGTTATCATCTCTTCTAGCCCTCTGTTTCAAAGTATTCTCTCTGTTTGCCTTTTTCTTTGAATTAGCCATCCCCTGTGGAAGTGCCCTGTCACTGTTGTGCAGAGGTCTTCGGGGTTCTGGGGGTATTAGGCACCCAGCACAGAGCACCAGGCTGAAGGTGACAGTTTGTCTTTCTCATGTGTACTTACTCTGCTGACCCAGTATCTATCCTTTCAGCTCTCGGGATTGACAACCAACGTTGTGGACATTATTCTGGCACATCACTTTGGGCAGGTAAGTTCCTATTCTACTGGAGAACTGTCCTGGGCCTGCATGTGAAGCCTCAGAAGAGTGCACTCTGTAGTGTGTGTGGTGCTGCCAAGGCTGGCCATATGGGAGCAGCATTAACTCTGGGCCACCTGGCCCTAGGCACTTGGAGAGTTGAGAAAGACAGCAGTACCCGCCTCCCCCGCACCTGCTTCCTGTAGGGAGGTGCCATCTGTTAGTGTTTGATAGCATCCCATGCCTAACCTAACATCTGTAGCACCATCAGGAGGTCTAGGAAGGGTTCCACAGAAATAGAAATTGCAGTGGGGCTGGGGGGAGAAATGTTTGTGCTAAAAGAACTTCGTATCTTGTTCAGTCCCTATGACAGCTAGTGAGGATAACTGACTGTGTGTTAGGTGAAGAGCGCTGGCATCAGTGAGCTGTGAGCTCAGAGCTGTCCGCAGTGGACAGAGGAGAGCCATGTGCAGAGTAGGAATGGGAGCAACACGACAGTTGCCATGTTCATTTTAAATATCAAACGATGGGAACTAGTACATGTGGAGAAAACTGGTTTGTATTAGTACTGGTTATTTATGTGCTGTGTGCCTGATACATGCTTTAGGTACACAAACGTTGTTATTTTCAATGTATGTTTGCTGGCCTGATTGGTTTTTAAAAATTGTTTATTTGGGCCTGGCACGATAGCTCAGTGGCTAAAGTCCTTGCCTTGAACGCGCCAGGATCCCATATGGGTGCCGGTTCTAATCCTGGCAGCCCCACTTCCCATCCAGCTCCCTGCTTGTGGCCTGGGAAAGCAGGTGAGGATGGCCCAAAACTTTGGGACCTTGCACCTGCTCCTGGCTCCTGGCTTTGGATTGGCTCAGCTCCAGCTGTTGTGGCTGCTTGGGGAGTAAACCATCAGATGGAAGATCTTCCTCTCTGTCTCTTCTCTCTGTGTATATCTCCCTTTCCAATAAAATAAATAAATCTTAAAAAAAAAAAGCAAAAATAAAAAATGTTTCTTTGAAAATCACTTATGGGGAATGAGGGGAAATATCATTAATCTGTTGGTTCGCTGATAAGATGGCCACAATGGCCAAAGCCAGGAAGCAGGAATTTCTTCCAGGTCTCCCAAACACTTGGACCATCCTCCACTGTTTTCCCAAGCCATTGGCAGGGAGCTACATCAGAAGTGGAGCAGCCAGGACTAGAACCAGCACCCATATGGGATGCTGGTATTAGCAGGTGGACAGTTAGCTTGTTGAGTCACTGCCCTGGCCCCCATTTTTTTTTTTTAAGGTTTGTTTGTTTGTTTATCTGAAAGGCAGAGTTACTGTAACTCTCTTACATTTTCTGGTCACTTCCGAAGTGGCCACCATGGCCAGGCTGAATTCAGGGAAACAGGAGCTCCACCTGGGTCTCCTGTGGAGTATCAGGGTCCCAAGTACTTGGGCCACTTTTTTGCTTTCCTAGGCACATTAGCTGGCAACTGGGTTAGAAATGAAGCAGCCTGAACACAAACCAGGCACTCTAATATGGGATGTGGACATCTTAAGTGGCAGTTGAAGTTGCCACACTACAGCATCTGCCCCACATTCATTCACATAAATTCACACACGTTCTAGATTTCATTTACTTATTTTTTAAATGATATATTTATTTTTATTGGAAAGATCTACAAACAGAAGGAGATGCAGAGAGAAAGATCTTCTATCTGCTGGTTCACTCCCCAAGTAACTGGATCTCAGCTGATCTGAAACCAGGAGCTTCTTCCTGGTTTCCCATGGGGGTACAGGGTCCCAAAGCTTTGGACCATCCTCTACTGCTTTCTTAGGCCACGAGTAGAAAGCTGAATGGAAAGTAGAACAGCCAGAACATGAACTGGTGCCCAAATGGAATCCCAGGTGAGGACTTTAGCCACTAAGCTATCACACCGGGTCCACATATGTTCTAGATTAAGGTCGTTCTTTAGGGTCTCTAATAAGGAATTCATCCTGTTTTTGCTTCTTAGAGAATTTGGTTTTCCTTTTTCTTTTTATTTAAAAATTTATTTATTTTTATTGCAAAGTCAGGTATATATATAGAGAGAGAGAAAGAGGAGGAGGAGAGACAGAGAGGAAGATCTTCCGTCCAGTGGTTCACTCCCCAAGTGACCGCAATGGCTGGAGCTGAGCCAATCTGAAGCCAGGAGCCAGGAGCTTTTTCTGGGTCTCCTATACTGGTGCAGGCTTGCAAAGCTTTGGGCCATCCTCGTCTGCTTTCCCAGGTCACAAGCAGGAGCTGGATGGAAAGTGGAGCTTCCAGAATTAGAACTGGCGCCCATATGGGATCCCAGGGCATTCAAGGCAAGGACTTTAGCCACTAGACCATGGTGCTGGGCCCAAGGATCTTGTTTTCTTGTAATGATTCTTTTTGGTTTGGCTGTCTGTTGCTGTCCCTAGGTTGAGGTGTAGCTTCCATGTAGCAGAGTGCAGGACCATGCATACATTTCAGCTATCTTCCTGCAACCACTACCTAAATCAAGATGATGGAACATTTCTACCACCCTCTGAGCTCTTCCTCAGTGATCCCATGCCCCCAGCAAGATAGCCCATGTTCCTCTTTCTCTGTGTTTGAACTTTGTATCAGTGGGATTGGTCAGTGTGCACTCTCTGTATTGTTTGTTTTTGTTTTTGTTTTATTGTGGGGTTTTTTGTCAGCCATGTCAGCACACGTGTCCTTGGTCTTTCCAGGGCTGTCAAGCAGCAGTCCGTTTCACCTTGTCAGATACCACTGTTGATTTATTCTGCTATGAAGATGCATTTGGGTTGTTTCCTTTCCTTTGTTTTCTATTATAAATAAAGCTATGGTGTATATTGTTATACTTCTACTTAGAATGTGTCTACTCTGTTCTCTTGGCCTCCATCTCTCTAAATATGCATTTATTTCACTTACTTTTTCTTGTAAGATTTATTTTATTTTTTATGTAGAAGGTAGATTTACGGAGTGAGGAGGAGAGACAGATTTTCCGTGTGCTGATCCACTCACCAAATGACAACAGCCAGAACTGGGCAGGTCCAAAGCCAGAAGCCAGGAGCTTCTTCTGGATCTCACACATGGATACAAAGAGCCAAGAACTTGGGCGCTTTGGACTGCTTTCCCAGTCACGTTAGCAGGGAGCTGAATCAGAAGTAGAGCAGCCAGGACTCTAGCTGGTGGCCATATGGGATGCCTGCATTTCAGGCACAGGCTTACCCAGCTGTGGCACAGTGCCAGCCCCTCTACTTGTTGATTCCTTAGTTCTTGGCACCATCTTTTGACTCTTGATTATAGAAGATGATTTCCTCCTCTGTCTTTGGTGCACACACATGCACTCATCCTGTACCCTTGGCTTGCGTTGCTATTTCCCACTCCATGCTCACAACATGACCTGATATGATTTGGGTTGCATCAGCCTCCAGCATTTTTGCTATCATGACGAAGTGTTCAGAGTTAGACCTTGACTACTGTCTTTTTCTGCAGAATATTTTGTGCTTTCTTGAGTCATTTTTATTTTTATTTTTTTTTATTAGTTTGCTATTGTATTTGTTTCAGCATAGAATCAGCTTTTCAGACTCTCTCCTGATAAGACACTCCATGATCAGCATATTCAGGCACATTAAGCAAACTTGTTTTCCTGTTATTGCTGGAGTTTCTCCCACAGCATTCCCACTGCTACAGTGTGCACTGATTTGACAGTTGGAATACATTGGTCTCTATATAGAGGCTCCTAGATTAGTTGCTTGTTTACTGCCAGCTGAGATCTGTTAGCTCGGAAGCCTGCCAGAGAAGGAATTAGATTTTCACACATCAAGTTATTTTTAAAGAGCACAGTGATTTAAGATACTACTTGGAACACCTACATCTTGAAGTATTGGGGCCCAAGTTCCACCGCCACTTCCCATTCCAAGTCCTGCTAATGTGTACTCTGGGAGCAGATGATGACCTAAAGTACTTGGATCCCTGCCACCTGCATGGGAGACCCCTGTTCCAGGCCCAGTCTGACCCAGCCCTGGTAATTGCGAGCATGTGATTAATGAGCCAGCAGATCAGACAGGAGATGTCTGTATGTGTGTGTGTGTGTGTGTGTGTGTGTGTGTGTGTGTGTGTGTGTGTGTGTGTGCACGTGCCTTCAAATAAATTTAAAATAATTTTTTAAAGATTTATTATATTTTTATTTGAAAGTCAGATATACAGAGAGGAGTAAAGCCAGAGACAAAAATCTTTCATCTGCTGATTCACTCCCCAAGTGGCTGCAACGGCCAGAGCTAAGCTGATCCAAAGCCAGGAGCCAGGAGCCTCTTCTGGGTCTCCCACACAGGTGAAGGGTCCCAAGGCTTTGGGCCGTCATTGACTGCTTTCCCTGGCCACAAGCAGGGAGCTAGATGGGAAGCTGGGCTGCTAGGATTAGAACCAGTGCCCAAATGGGATCCCGATCCATGCAAGACGAGAACTTCAGCTGCTAGGCTACTTCGCCCGGTCCACTGTTCCACTTCTGATCCATCTCCCTGCTTATGATTTGGGAAAGTAATAGAGGATGGCTCAAGTCCTTGGACCCCTGCACCCATGTGGGAGACCTGGAAGAAACTGCTGGTTCCTAACTTCAGATCAGCTCAGCTCTGGCTATTAAAGCCATTTGAGGAGTGAATTAGTGAATGGAAGTGTGTGTGCACACTCTGTCTCTCCTCTGTAAATCTACGTTTCAACTGAAAATAAGTAAATCTTAAATATGTGTATATATGTGGGTCCCAGTATGATGGCCTAGAGACTAAATACTCACCTTGCAAGTGCTGGATCTCATATAGGTGCCAGTTCGCGTCCCAGCTACTCCACTTCCCTTCCAGCTCCCTGCTTGTGGCCTGGAAAAGCAGTAGAGGATTGCCCAAAGCCTTGGGACGCTGCATCCGCATGGCCGACCCAGAAGAAGCTTCTGGCTTCAGATTGTCTCAGCTCTGGCTATTGCAGCCACTTGGAACCAGCAGATGGAAGATCTTTCTATTTCTCCTTGTCCCTGTGAATCTGATCTGCTTTTCAAATAAGTAAAAGAACAGGCTAATCAAACAAATGAGTCTTAATCTGCGGCTTCGAAAGTTGACCTGTGTCCCTTTCAATTGTTCTAGGAAGAACTACAGGCCAACCTGGACCTGATTCAAACCTACAGACTGCATATTGCCCAAGATATCAACCAAGAAAACCTACAGCTTTTCCTGGGTTCCTACAATGGGTACAGTCACTTCCTAGTCCTTTGCTTGATTATTGGTCAAGTCCAAAAAGATAATTGAGACTTAAGGAAGAAAGAAGGGAATGATAGGCTGCTGCTTCTGCTGCTGTGGGATGGGATTGGCTTACAGACAGACCAGCACTCTCAGGAAAAATGAGTATGCTGAGAACTGTTGCCAGCACTGTGCTAAAAGTACTTGTAGTTTTATGTGGTTTGACACAAGAGTTGCCTAACTCATGCACACACACGATCATTTGAAGTAGTCCAAGAAAATGCAGCCAGTCAAAGGAGAGATGTCTTGGGTGTTGATTTAGTTTGTCTTTGCTGATATCTTGTCATCAGGCAAAAGTACCACATGGACGTGGGTAAGTTCTCGCTTGTGTATTGCAGAACTTGACTGTTGCATCTCCCAGTTTCTCAGACAGGCATAAAGTGTCTAAAAACAGTTTTTTATTTTTGGAACCAACTTCCCCAAAGTACAAGCATTAGCTTCTTCTGATATTCCAGTGCTCACATGGGCAGCACAGATATTAAAGTGGGGAACCAGCCTTCTGGGAACATGAGAAAAGTGTAAGAAGATGGGTGAGCTGTGAGCCGATAAGTGACCCTGCCCAGTGTCACGCGGCCAGGGAGAAGCAGAGCCAGGTTCTGACTGTGTTCTCTCCTGCTCTCTCCTCGTCTATAACGTAGACTCCCTCTTTTTGGTTAAAGTAGTTCAAATCCTGTGTGCCACAGTTAGTGAAACACTCGCTCCACACAGCTTGCCTTCCCATGACTTGAATTTATTCTTTTAAACTAGTAAGAAAATGGACCACCTAAAGACTTGAGGGTTTCTGCAGTGCCACTACTGGGTGTTGCAACTGGACCTCTGTGTGTCCATAGGCTTCCCCACTCCTGCCCCCAGTGCTAGGTCTAGAGCCTCATAGCTGCTCATGGCCGGTGGCTAGCAGCAACCGCTGTACTGCACCACTGAGAAAGAGTTTCAGAAGTCCTCGATGGGTTTTGGGTTTTGTGGCCAGGAACTCGCCTGAGTTGCCGTGCTATTACTGACAAGTGCCTTGCTTCCTCCTTGTCTTTGTAGACGCAGAGACCTCGAGATTGAAAGACCTATCCTGGGCCAAAGCGATAACAGATCAAAAACGTTAAAGTAAGTCCCTGTGGTGCCCGGTGGAATCACTGGCTTTTTCTGTTGTGGTCTCAAGTTCGGGGAATGTGTGTGTGGATTTTCTGAGCATCACCTCTTGCTGCTTGTGCCTAGGTGTTCTACGTTATTGGTGGTAGGAGACAGTTCACCTGCCGTCGAGGCTGTGGTGAGTATGTGCTGTTGAAGATTAAAACGTAATGAAGCCTAGAGCATACCCTGCAGGCACACCAGAGCCACATGGCAGGACTGGCTTGTTAGCCCTCACTCCCTATGACACATTTGGAAAATTGCTACCTCATCAGTCACCAGGTCTCATAGAATTGTTTCTTCCTCTCTTTTTAGGTTGAATGCAATTCCCGCCTCAACCCTGTAAATACAACTTTGCTCAAGGTAATTGTCTTCTACCCCTTGCTGGCCATCTCCTCAAGATTCCTGCATTCTCTGCAGAAGCTGCCCCTTAGGATTCTGTCATTCACTTTAGAAGCTGTTCATCCTGATTGTGTTCTCATTATAGAAAATAGAAAATGCATGAAGAATGAGATAAATTAAAGTTACTTTTAATCCTGCCTCCCCCCAGAGGCGACCCCTGGTAAAACCTGGGTGTTGTTTTTCTGTACATTTTTATAACATTAGTACCAGTGGGACTTTGTGGCCTTGTGACTGTTTTCTTCATATGTACAACATAAACGTTTTCCCATGACAGTAAAATTTTCATGCACATTATTTAATGCTGTGAGAATTAGGATAATGAGTGGAAGTGCTTTGCATACTGAGTCATGTTGTGTTGGCAAAGAGCATTCCAGTAACTTTCTGATGATGTTGCAGAGTGCGTTTTCTTTCCTCATTCAGAGCAACTCTTGTTCTGACATCCTAGACTTAATATCAAGTTTCTCCTCTTTCAAGTACTCACCAGGCAAGAGGTCCAGCCTGGCATTATCTCAACTTCATTTCTCCAAGGTCCTCAGAGAAGATGTTTAGTGCAGCCCATCTCCTAGTTGGAATTGGGACAACTATACATTTCAGTGCCTGTCTTCTTGTTTTCTGCTACATTTTCAGCTCAAAAGCTCTTTACTATCTTCTCTTTTTCTCTTTAACTTGTGCTTAAAAAGAAATTGCTGTCACCAGAAGCAGCCTGTAGTTCCTAAAATTCTTCATGAGATTAATGCTTTGATGTGACCAAAATCGAAATATTTTGGGCTTCAGGGTGATTAATGAACTAGTCAGAGATATGAATTAAAAAAAAAGTATAATTTCAAAACTCATTTTTCACTGTAGGTTTGAATCAGTATTTAAAAGGAAGCAAAATTGTACTCTCCTTTTCAAATTTTGAACCAACGTTTTGTTTTTAATTTTATGTCTGCCTCTGGTGGTAGGACTAACTCAAGTTTTACGGCCCTTCCCTTCCCAGGTGGGTGGAGGGGTCTCCCTAGAGCTTGCTAGGGTATAAATATTTATAGATTTTTTTTAAGATTTTTTTTTTATTGGAACATCATATATGCAGAGAGAAGAGATAGAGAGGAAGATCTCTCATGTGTTGATTCACTCCCCAAGTGGCCGCAATGCCCGGAGCTGAGCCAGTCTGAAGCCAGGAGCCAGGAGCCTCTTCTAGCTCTCCCACACAGCTGCAGGGTCCCAAAGCTTTGGCCATCCTTGATTGCTTTGCTAGGCCACAAGCAGGGAGCTAGATAGGAAGTGGGGCTGTCAGGATTAGAACTGGTACCCATATGGGATCCCAGCATGTGCAAGGCGAGGACTGTAGTCACTAGGCTACATCACCAGGCCCTATTTATAGTTTTTTATACCTGTCAAGTGACACAGCAGTGTGGTTTCTATGGCGGTAAATGTATATTTTGGTTACAGCCTCAGCACATCACGGAAAGAGCTCAGTTAAGAGAATCTGACAGACCCACACCTCCTGTAGGCCTCTCGGCCACTCCCACATGAACTCTAAATAAAATTTCCTGTATCCTGCAAAAAAAAAAAAAACAAAAAAAAACTGAACTCTGTAGTAGCCACAAATGTGGTAATTTCTGCACAAAAATATCTCATCATGTAGTGAATTGGTTAACTTGCATGACATATTGAACTGGTTCTCAGACTATTTGATAGTCTTCTGAGGATAAAGTACTGTTTTGTAGTTATAATTAGGTTTCAGCTCCTAAACATCAAGAAAATACAGCCTGGGAGCCAGTACTATGGTACCACGGTGCCAGTATCCCCTGTCAGATTACCAGTTTCGAGTCCTGGCTGCTCTCCTTCCGATCCAGCTCCCTGCTAACATGCCTGAGAAGACAGCTAATGATGATCCACATGTTTAGGCCCCTCCCATCCCTGTGGGAGACCAGGATGGAGCTCCTGGCTTTTGGCTTCAGCCTAGCCCAACCTCCATTGTCGCCAGTATCAGGAGCACGAACCAGTGGAGGGGAGAACTGTCTCCTCTGTCTCTTTCACTCTGCATTCCCAATACAATTTTTAAATTTTAAAACAAACTAAGGAATCTCACCGTGTCTTGTTGCAAAGGATTTGGGAAGTTCAGGGTGTGTTTCCTTAAGTTGAAGCTCTAGCTGACTCCTGTGTTTTCTTTTTCTAGATGGCAGACTGTGGAGGACTGCCCCAAGTGGTTCAGGTAAGGACGTTTTTGTTAGCAGCCTTCCACCTCTCCCTGTGTACCTGTGTGGAGATTGATGCCTTTTTGTTCTCTCCCGCAGCCTGGGAAACTCACGGAAGCCTTCAAGTACTTTTTGCAGGGAATGGGCTACAGTGAGTAATATCTGATTTTCTATCTAGCAATGATGTATGGAAATGGGGGTCAGTTGACATCCGGGAGCCTCCACCTCTCGGGCATACCCTCTGGGGCTGGCCAGCCTTAAGCAGAAGTCTTGTGCACAGGTGTCATGGCTGCTAGCATGTAATAGGCACTTACCTTGTATCAGGCACTGTGTATTCTTAACCCAAGAGGTAAGTCCCATTATTAGTCTCATTTTGTAGAAAGGGGAAGCTGAGGCTCAGAAAGGCTCAGCATGTTTCCCAGGGTCACCTGTAACTGCAGCGCCATGATTAAGACTGGCAGTCTGACTCCAAAGCCCCTATCTGGAACCACGAAGCCTCAGGCTGTGCTAACCCATAACTCTGAAATGACAGCTTGCCTTGAATGCAGCTCATTGGTAACTCCTGGCCCAGAGACTCCAGAAGAAAAAGGGAGTGCCCTCAGTTGAATCTGTTCCACCCCAGGTGATGAACTTGCAAATCCAAGGACCTGTCTGTATTGTATGCTGATGTCCTGGTCTCCCATATCATGAGACCTCTGAGTTGTGCCATTTGTCATAGAATGTCCATACTTGCTCCTTTGTTGGAGTTGTTATAGGCAGAAAAACACTCTCACCCAGGTACAGAGCTCTTCACCCAGCACCTTTGACAATGGTGTGAATAATGGCTGTTGGTGAGACACCTGGCTGGCCGCTCTGAGCAATTGGGCCCTGGGTGCAGTCCTGTGCTTGCTGGGTAGCCCATGTGTGTCTTGTCCAGAGTGACTGTGTTGTCCCCGTCTGTGAGCCTCTCCCAACTGAGCCCAGCCTTTTGGTCCTGGGCTCACTGGAAGGAGCACCATCCCTTGGTGAGGTTGCAGCTGCTCTTCCAGCCATGATGTGACCCAGAGCTAGTAGCTGTTGATGGTGGAGGGAGAGCAGTTGGCTTCCCCTCTTCTGTGGGACCCTAAAGAAGGTATCTCCTGGCTTAGAGTATTCTGTCAGCATGTGCTAGGCAGCCGAGGTCGCTACTTGGCACTGTCAGGTCACTAATCTGCCTTTTCCTGTGTCCATCCTGCTTCCAGTCCCGTATGTGCAGCTCAGTCACCTGAGCACCGAGTCAGGTACCTTCCCCTGTGCTGGCCCTGCCCCTGCCTTCCAGCCACGCTCTCTTGGCTGGCTGCCTGCAGCATGCCCGCGGTTTTCCTGTGCAGTGAGAGCCCGATAGAACGTGGCTCGTGGTGCTCCCAGGAGGAAGCAAGGATCTGCCTGTTAACAGGCCTCCTCTGGTCGTGCTAAATCCAGGGTCACAGCAGCAGTGCCCGTCTTTTGCCACCACCTTCTGATCCTTGGGTGAACCCCCAGGCCCAGGGCTGTGGACAGCCAGGACTCCACATAAGTGTGTCAGAACCTTTACACAGAGAGCTGCATATGTGGTGTCCTCTTTGGACTATAGCATTGAGGTGACAGCTGGGGGGTTGGGGAAGTGGCTGGTGCCTCAGGAAGATGACTCCTACAGAGAAGTCAAGTTCCTGTCCAGGCAAGCTGGAAGGACCTTCGGGTCGAAGCAGGGCAGTGCAGGAGTCCGAGTCCAACCCCTACTCCAGAGCTTTTCCCTCCTCGCCCCCACCCACACCAGCTAGCCAGGGTCACCTGTGGACACGGCTGGTTGTCTCGTTGTATCGGGCTTGCACTGTGTCTGTGAAACACCCTCGTACTCACGTGGTTTGTCTTTCCCTTTGGTTTAGTCTTGCATGCACTGTGGGCTTGGTGACCATTTTGGGTTCCCAGAGCCCCCTTCCTATCACTGTGTGAATGGTGTGGGCACAGCTAAGAGGCTATCATGGGGACCAGAACCAGCAATAGTGGTAAAGTAGCTTTGCAGACAGCCACTCCCCTAGAGCAGAGAAGCCAGGGTTCATGGCTCTGTCCTGCCCTGGGTGTCATCCTACATGGGCTGGGAAAGCGAAACCAGAAGACTTTGATGAGACAGGTGGTTGAGTGGCGCTTAGCCAGGGCCTCATCGTGTAGCCCTCCGGGTTCTGTGTTGCAGTCCCATCCGCCAGCATGACCCGGCTCACCCGCTCGCGCACCCACTCCACCTCGAGCAGCCTTGGCTCTGGAGAAAGCCCCTTCAGCCGCTCAGTCACCAGCAGTCACTCCGACGGGACTCAGGAATCCTGCGAGTCTCCTGACGTCCTGGACAGACAGCAGACCATGGAGGTGTCCTGCTGAGCAGAGGCTCCTCCTTGGACCCCGCAAGGCCATCCCCTTCAGATGACCTCTCCATAATAACACAGCACCCCCACAAGCTGGCCTCTCCTCTCTCTAACTCATGCATGGCCACTGAACCTCTCTCTCGTAGCTGGGTTTGTCATTCTCCTGTCCCACTGCCTCCCTCTTTTGTATGTACCAAGGACCACATCCGCACCTCTGTACCATTCCAACTCTTTAGCCAATCCGGGCACCACCTCTTCTATTGCCAGCTTTTCCCTGTGCTCCCCCGACGATGTACCTGATAAGATTCTTCAGTCCCCCTCGTGTGTGTGCGAGCACGCGTGTCTGTGTGTGCATAGTTCTGTGATTTTTTAGACATGCTTTCTCGTAGCGCTTCTGCAGAACACAGGAAAGGGACACCTTTGGCATTTTCAGTGGTGTTTTTCAGGGAAATGTGTAAAACTGATATCTAGGTGAGGCTACCACATTCTGCCTTGGTACCACATCTGGCAACAGGCTCAGCAGGTGGGCGAGAGTGGTTCTGAGGAATGCATTAGATCCGAGCTATTGTTGAAACCAGTAGTGGAGAGGGCCTATCCCATGGAGCTAGGTGGCCAGCTACCTCCTTCTGGTTGAGTAGATGCCGTGTGCTGCTTTGGACAGACAAGGGAGGGGTGTGTCCTGCTAGGAGGCCCTGAGCACTGATTCTGATACAACAGGGAGCAGTGAGCATGGCTTCATTCCAGGCATCTCAACTCAGGAATGTGGGAAAATACAATGTTAGGCCTGCCCTCTACTGGGGCCAATGGCTATTGTCACAGTGTCCAGCACCATTCGCTCTCCCACAGCTACAGGTCCGCAGGAGCACCTGCCAGGACTGTGCTGGACTCCAGCTCTCCATCCCTTAGCCCCTGACAGGGAGAGGCATGGCCTAGGAATCTCCTAGCGGAGGGGCAGAGACAAGGAGGGAAGACTGGCCCTTCCTGCAGTCATGTGTACTACATGTAGCCTTTGCAACAGACTTCACAGAAGCCGTTTCTCAGACTCCATAGGGGCTGCCCTGTCTACAGTGAGGGGAGGGATCGGATCATAGCCAGTCAGAGCATATTGTTCTGGAGCAGTGGGTGCTCCCGTGGCATCACACAGAGCCGGGGCTCCAGAAGGGGCGTTGCAGGCGCATCACTTGCTTTCTGCTGAGATAAGGGATGTGTTATTCTGCCTGAGTGCGACTTTTTACCAATTATTCAATAAAGCTGTATATGTCTCGTTGTTACCTGACTGCTGGTCTTTTTTTCTCTCAAGCTGCTTGGGCCCCATGGAATCCCTGGTTCCTCTGGCACACCTGTGGCACCCCCTCCTCAACCAAAGAGCCCAAACCCAGCAGTGCTATTCATGATGGATGAGTTGATGCCCTGAGAACATGTCTCCTTCATAGTACCACTGTGTGAGCTTGCCAGCACCCACAAGGCAACACTTTTTCGGTGTAGTCAGGAAGAACTGCCAGGGATCTGGGGGCTGCTGCCACTCTCTGCTCACCCAGCATATTGTGGGTGACATGGCCCAGCCCACTGGGGAGGACAAGAAGAGACACATGTGGGTGAGTAGGTCAGAGGCCAGGCCAGGTACCCAGCGATGCAGGTCTATGTGCTGCACACCAGAGGTGGGAGTTGACATGGTTGCCAATGCTACTCCTAGGCCCATGCTCCTGCAGCCCTTCTGGCCACACTCAGAATGGGCCATCCTTGTCTTCCCCACCTTAGCTTATGCCTGGAACCAGGCTCCAGCTGACTCTACTTCTTCTTTTTTATTCACATTAGCTTTCTTTAAAAAAAAAAAAAGGATTTAATTTTGTTGGAAAGGCAGATTTACAGAGCAAAGCAGAGAATAATTTTCCATCCATTGGTTCATTCCACAAATGGCCACCAACAGCCAAAGCTGAGTCAGTATGAAGCCAGGAGCCAGGAGCTTCTTCTGGGTCTGCTCTGAGGGTGCAAGGCCCCTAGACTTTGAGCCATCCTCCATGGCAGCTTCCTCATGGAGGTCTGACCAGTGTTAACTGAACCTCCATCACATCTGCCCTCTGTCCCTGGAGAATGTGAGTGATGTACACAACTCCAAGCTGCTTTCTCTTTCAAACTGATGTATTTATTTTGAAAGTCAGATTTGGAGAGGGAGAAGAAATAGAGGAAGCCCTTCCATCCACTGATTAACTTCTCAGAGGGCTGTAACAGCCAGTGCTGGACGAGATCGAAGCTAGGAGCTTCTTCCAGGTCTCCCATGTAGGTTCAGGGTCCCAATCACTTGGATCATGTCTCCACTGCTTTCCCATGCCATTAACAGGCAGCTAGATCAGAAGTGGAGCAGCTGGGACTCAAACCAGTACCCATAAGGAATGTTGGTGTCACAGCAGTTGATCCCACTCTTTCCCTTTTTTAAAGATTAATCAATCAATCTGAAGAGCAGAGTTAGAAAAAGAGGAAGAGATATTGTCCATCCAGCTTGGGCTGGGGCAGGCCAAAGCCAGGAGCCAGGCATTCCATCCAGGTCTCCCACAGTAAATGGCAGGGATCCAAATACTTGAGCTATCCTCCACTGCCTTCCCAGGCACATTAGCAGGCTAGCTGGCTAAGACGTGGAACAGCCAGGACTGGAATTGGCTTACCAGTGGTGTTCTAGCACCAGCCCCAGCTCCAAGCTTCTAGCGATGGCTTGGTCTGTGAGCATTTCTCATCCAGGAACTCCCAAGTTCCCAGATTAGGACAACAGATGCCCCCTCTCAGGCAGAAATTCAAAGGATTTAGGAGCTGTGAATCAAGAATCAGCATCAGGGGACCCACCTTGTGATACAGTGGGCAAAGCCACTGGCTGTGAAGCCAACATTCCATATGGGCACTGATTTCTATTCTGGCTGCTCCTTTTGCTGTTCAGTTCCTTGCTAATGTGCTGAGGAAATTAGTGGGGAATGGCCTAAGGCCTGGGGCCCCTGTGTGAAAGACCTGGAAGAGGCTGCTGGCTCCTGACTTTAAAGCCTGGCCCAAACTCGATGTTGGAGCCATCTGGGGAGTAAACCAGTGGATGGAAGAACTCTATGTCTACCTCTGCTTCTCTTTCAAATAAATAAATCTCAAAAGGAAAAAAAAAAAAGGGATCAAAGATCAGATACTACAGCAAAAGATACTAGTATAGCCCTATTGGTCATGGAATTAATAAGGATTTTAGGAGCTCTGGACAGATGCTGAGTTGAAAGACCAAATCTGTTTCTCGCGGATTTAGGCAGATCTAGGATATAAAACGAGTTTCTAGTTCTTCCAATGTGGAAAAGGAAAGCTGTGTGGTGGGATTCTTCTAAGAAGAGGTCAGAGCTGGTTAGTCCCTGTTTCCTCCCAGGTTTACCTTGAGATTTAGTCTTGAGCATCTGCCTGTCTCATATGGCAACAGAGCTGGTTGGAGGTATCCTCCTCAGTTACCAGTCCACCCCATCTTCCCCAGTAGCAAGGGGAGACTAGCAGGAGTGTTCAGCAGCCAGCAAAGGCTGGCAGACTGGGCTGGGCTCAGGAGCCAGTACAGTGCCACACCCACTGTGTGCTGTGAGAATGCTACTTGCTAAGCGAGAGCCAGCAGATGGGCATGGGGAAACTTTAATGAACCAGCAGAGGAGAGTAGCACATATGGAAGCTAATTCTGTCCATTGAGTCTGCAACTTAGATCACTGTTTGGCTGGCTTGGGCATGCCCTAGAAAGAGTTGGAGTGTTTGTGAAACCAGAGTAATCCCAGAGGTTGAGTCCCTCTGACCTGATATGAAGGAGGCCTTAGAACATGTCTGACAAATTGGGAGATGCTATTGAGGCTGAGTCCAGATCCTGCTCTGGAGAGCATGGGCACCAGACCAGCACCATGAATTCCGCCTGGCAGCTTTTATGAATGGGGGCTCTTGGGGTGTGGGTATTAGATGCAATGGATAGGATACTACTGAGGGCACCCACAGCCTATATCAGAGTGCCTGTACTTGAGTTCTGACTGTAATTCGGATTCCAGCTTCCTGCTAATGTACCCAGTGGGGGCCAGCAGGTGATGGCTCAAGTACTTGAGTCCCTGCCACCCACCTGGTAGACCTAGATGGAGTTGTGGCGCTCCTGGCTTTGGGCTGACCCAGCCTTAGCTGTTGTAGGCATTTGGGAGAATGAACCGGCAGACAGAAAATTTCCCTCACCTGGATTTGCAAAGAAGGTTTGTTTTAAGCCTTTTTAAAAAAGGCATAATTTTTTTTAAAGATTTATTTATTTTTATTGGAAAGGCAGATATACAGAGGAGAAGAGACAGAAGTATCTTCTGTCCGATGATTCACTCCCCAAATGAACGCAATGGCCGGTGCTATGCCAATCCGAAACTAGGAGCCAGGCAAGGACTTTAGCCATTAAGCCACTGCACCGGGCCCATAAAAAGGCATAATCTTAAGCCCCACCCAGACCTGTGGCATCAGGGTCTGCAGTTTCCCAAGGCCTTCCGGTGATTTCCCTCCCTGAAAAGCAGAGGAGGCAGTGGCTGCCAAAGGACTCTTAGGCTCCTGGTGTGGAAGTTGGGTTCAGAAGATGCAGGAGAATCCCAGAAATTGCTAGAATGAAGCTCCCCCACCTTGTGATCACTGCAGTTAGGCCAGTGTGGGTCACTCCTGTTCACTTACCTTGGTTCTGTGATCCTGAGTCCAGTCAAACCACAAGGCCTGGAGCAATGGCTCAATAGCTCAAACTTCACCATGCAAGCACCAGGATCCCATATGAGCTTCAGTGTGTGCTCTGGCAGCTCCACTTCACATCCAGCTCCCAGCTTGTGGCCTAGGAAAACAGTGGAGGACGGCCCAAAGCCTTGGGACCCAGTACCTGCTTGGGAGATCCGGAGGAGGCTCCTGGCTCTTGGCTTTGGATTGGCTCTGCAGCTGTTTGGGGAGTGAACCAGCAGGTGAAATATCTTTCTGGTTCTCTGTAAATCTACCTTTCAAATTAAGTAAATAAATAAATCTTTTTTTAAAAATGCCACAAAGCCAGAAAAAAAACTCCAGCTCCAGGATGGTGGCGAGGCAGCTGCTCCCCAGAAACAGGAACTCGAGGAAGGTGGCCTCGATGGTGTGTGATGCCGTCAGAGGAAATGAGTGGTGGTGAGCTACAAAGGCTGCAGACGGAGGGGAGCTGCAGCTCCGGGCCTGCTGCGCCTGTCTCCACGGCAGAGCCCTGAGCGTCTGCCCAGCCAAGTCCATCTGGCTGGATCCATAAAGAGCTTGGGCTCCTGGCATTTCTCAGGAGGTATATGTATACTGATGACCACGTACAGATGCTGAGCTCCCCAAGGCACTGAAGATCTCCTCAGGCCACAAGGGTTCCGCGGGCCTCCTAGCACCCCGGACGTGGGCAGCCTTCCTCAAGGCATCCACCTGCACTAAGCCACCTTCTGAGAAAGCGGTAAGTACATTTTTGTTTTCTCACACCCCCAGAGCACCGCCAGCACCACCACCCCACAGGTGAGTAGGCTTTCCTCACAGCTGGGAGAAGGGAAAGTAGTCTCCACCAGGGTTGTATGTGGGCATCTCAGAAGGCACTGGGGGTTACTCTCTACCCTGATCACCTCCTGCAGACCTGCACGCTCCCTGCAGCTCCCCTGCCTGTCCATTATGGCTCCCACCTCAGTTACTGCAACTTGTTGTGCTTTCTGGGCCAATGTTCCAAGGCCATTGAGCATGAAGGGTCTATGTTGGCAGCTCTAAAGATTCATCCAGCAATGGTGCCCACAGTGCCTCCCCGAAGTGGGAGGCCTCCCTTCCGCTCCATCCGGGTTCATCCAGCCCAGATAGGAAGGAAGGCTATCCTCAGCAGCCCAGAAGCAGTGTGCAAGGCGGGAGTGGGAACACAGGCTGCTTCTGGGGCCCCATATGGGGCTGGGGCGCAGACCTCAGTGGCCTTCACTCATTCTTTCCTTCCGCCCACGGGCCTGGGTCCCCAGCACATGGTAAAGCCGCCCAGAGAGAGGTGTGGCTAATGACTAGATTCCTTCTCAGTAGTGTCTGCCAAGACCTCCTCTGGGGTGGGGGTGGGGGATCTGCCCACAGCCGCACCTTCTATGACTGGAGCAGCAGGCTTCAAAGAAGTCCTGGCTGAGAGCAGCCTCGGATTGCCCTGGGCCCATCCCCCCACTCCACCTGCAGAGGGAAGTATGGTTGCTTGCAGGCGCTACTGTGGTCTTGCTGAAAGATGGGAAAGGAAGCTAGATGCCTTGTACCCTCTGTGCCAAGCTCCAATTATTGTCCCTGCACGCCATGCAGTGAGAACTGCGTCCCTGAGCCACAGCCTGCTGAGTCTGAATTGACCACCCAGAGACCCCTTCTACCCCAGGGCTGGTGGTCCCTTACTGGGGTCTCCTAGACTCCCCCTCTGCAAAATTAAGCCTCTAGTGTGAATTGAAGGTTTGCACTTAAAAAAATCATTTGTTGTGATAAGGCACAGTTACAAAGAGATCATCCGTCTACTGGTTCACTCCCCAGTTGGCTCTAAGAGAGGCTGATATTGTGGCATAATGCATTAAGCTGCCACCTACAGCTCTGGCATCACATTTGTGCAACAGTTCAAATCCTGGCTATTCCACTTCCAATCCAACTCCTCCTAATGTGCCTGGGAAAACAGAAGAGGGTAATCCAAGTGCTTGGGCCCTTGAACCCATGTAGAAAACCTGGAAGCTTCTGACTCCTGGCTTCTGGCTTCCAGCTTAGGCCTAACCTAGCCCTGCTCACTGTAGCCATCTGGGGAGTGAATTAGTGGATAGAAAAGTAAATCCCCAGCGCGATGGCTTAATGGCTAAATCGTTGCTTTGAAAGCTCTAGGATCCCATGTTGATGTTAGTTCATGTTATTTTTATTGGAAAGGCAATGTACAGAGAGAAGGAGAGACAGAAAAATCTTCCATCCACTGGTTCATTCCCCAAATGGCTGCAGTGCTGGAGCTGGGCTGATCCAAAGCCAGGAGCCAGGAGCAGCTTCTTGCTCTTCCATGTGGATGTAGGGTCCCAAGGCTTTGGCCCATCCTGTACTGCTTTCCTAGGCCACAAGCAGGGAGCTGGAAGAGAAGTAGAGCAGCTGGGATATGAACTGATGCCCATATGGGATCCCAGCACATGCAAGACAAGGACTTTAGCCACTATGCTATGGCACCAGACCCTGAAAATAAATCTTTAAAAAAGAGAGAGAAAAAAAGAAAAAGTTATAACACCCTGGGCTGGGCCAGACCAAAGTCACAAGTCAGGAGTTTCTTCCGGGTTTCTCACATGGGTACAGCTATCCAAGGAGTTGAGCCATCCTCGTCTGCCTTCCCAGGCACATTAGCAGAGAGCTGGATGGGAAGTGTGGCAGCTGGAACTCAAACCAGTGCCCTTGTGGGATGTGCATTGCAGACAAAAGTTGAACTTGCTATGCCACGTGCCAGCCCCTTACACAGGATCTTTACTGCTCTGGCGAGCCTGGCATAGGACACCACAGTAACAACAGGCAGCCATCTCAACCAGGCATTATGAGGTTCAAGGATTAAGAAAGAGCCCATGGTGCTACGAGGCCCTTCTCTGAACTCCTCCCCACTGGGCTCCAGCCTCAGCAGGTGCCTGGCCCAGAGCAGCAGCTTGGAGAATACAAGTTGCCTGCCACCAAACAGGGGTGGTCAAGCCCTTTCACCTGTTGAAAAGACAGAGTGCACTTCTCCCTCTCCCAGCACTGTAGTGTTGGGCAGGTTGGCACCACCCTAAGAACCTATGGTCCTCACCTGTTCTAAGTCATTCTCAGAGCTCATCACTACTTCTGCTCACTGGATTAGTGTATCGAGTGCCATCAGTGCCCTCTGTGGGAAATGGGAGAGCAGAAATCCTCAGCCTCATGACACTGGAGGACAATGGTAGGTTGAACAAGGAAACAGGACCAGCATTAGGTACAGTGGTTAGGTCATGGGATGCTTGCAACTTGTCAAAGTGTCCAGGCTTGTGTTTCAGCTCTGCCTCTCACTCCAGCTTCCCATTGACACACCCAGGGAGTAAGCAAGCAGTGGCTGATTTTTGGGGGGGCCTCTGCCAGCCTTAGGGCAGGCCAAAGTTGAGTTCCTGGTTCCTGGCTCCAGCCTGGCCCAGCCCCAGGTATTTCAGATATTTGGAGGAGTGAACCAGCAAGTAGTACATGTACGTCTCTGCCTTACAAATACATTCAGTTTTAAAAATTGTTGGAAACAAATAATTGCTCTTAATAAATTCAGCCTTGCAGAGGAATGCAGCAGGTAGCAAAGAGAGAGCAGCTATGGGGAGGCCTTGGATGAAATGACAAATGTCGACGTTCCAGACAGGAGACAGGAAATGTTGGCCCCGGGCGGGTTGTTCACAGCTTTATCTCTCACCCTGTGTGTCAGTTGCTGTTATCCCCATTTTTCAGATGATGAAATGGAGGCAAGGAGAGGGGAAATGTACTGACAGCTAGTTGCTTCCCCCTCCCCTCCCCCCCCCCGTCACCGCCAAGCCTGCCCTGTGACAGCAGTGTTATTGCTCAGTGTCACCTCCGCTTGTGACATGCTCCCTCCGGTCCCCCTTGCCTACCTCTGTCCCTCGCCATGGGTCCTGACGCATAGGAGTGAACACACTGCCCTTTTCCTGCCTGCTGCCTTCTGGGGCAGAGCCTGAGGCTCCAGGTAAACCACAGGAACTCAAGGGCACTTCAGGACAAGCCTGGGTCTTGGAGAAAGCTTCCTGAAGAAAGGGAGCCTCGCACCCTGACCCAGGAGACACAAGCAAAGGCCTGGAAACACACGTGGTAAGGGTGGAGGAGGCAGAGGGTCCTCCTGAGGGAGGGGCTGGCATGGTGGGGGGCAGGGCTCAGGGTGGGAATGATTCTCCTGGGAAATAGCAGCACTAGGCTGGGGACAGGGGGTATCCAGGGTCAGGTGGAGCCTTGCGTGCTGTCTCTTTCAGATTCCTCTCGGTGACTGTCCTCTGAGCACACTGCTGCGGAATGATGGGCAGTCTGCCCAGCAGAGGGAAATCCCTGGCCAGCCCAAGCTCCTGCCCCTCGGCCCCAGGCCCAGGCCCCACACCCCTGCAAGCAGGTAAGGTTCCAGGAACTGGGGCAGCCAGGTCCTTCCCAGGTCCTACAAGGATGTACCACCTCTGCGTTGCACCTCAGTTACCACTGAGCACCTGCTGTATACCAGCCCCTTCCCACCCAGCCCTACCGGTGGGGTCTCTGCTCTGAGACACCTAATCAACGGGAAATAAGAGAGGAGAGTGAGCTCAAGCTCTGGCTGGCACTAGTAGCCAGAAGGGCTCTCTGGACTCTCCTCCTCACCTCCTTCCTCACAGCTGAGCTGGCCAGCCCCACCACTGTTGCTCTCTAGGGCTGCAGCAGCCATTTCAGGAGCCATGAGTCACATGTAGCTGGGAAATGCCAATTTTTAGTGTCTGGGGTTGTGAGTGAGGGGGATGCCAGCATCCCATAAGACCTCTGGTTCAAGACTGAGGTGCCCTGCTTCCAGTCCAGCTCTCTGCTCATAGAGGGCAGCAGCAGCTGACCCAAGTGCTTGGGCTCCTGCCACCCTCGTTGGAAGGCTCAGATATGGAATTCTGAGTTCCCGGTGTCAGCTTGGTTCAGCACTGGCTGTGCAGCCATTTGAGAAGTGAATCAGCAGATGGAAGATTTCTCTTCCGCCCTCTCCCTCTCTGTTGCTTTTATAAAAAAGATTTTAAAATTAAAAATTTTTCTCTGTCATGATTGACATGCACAATAGCTACATGCAGCTCACAGCTACTTTAGTGAATAGCACAAAATGCTGGAACTTTTTTTTTTTTAACTTGAAAGGCAGCATTATATAAAGGGGAGAGGCAGAGGGAGAAGCCTTCCATCTGCTGGTTCATTCCCCAAGTGGCTGCAATAGCTAGAGCTGGGTTGGTATGGAGCTGGGAGCCAGGAGCTTCTTCAAGATCTCCCACATGGTTGCAGGGAGCAAAGGGAGTTGAATTGGAAGTGAAATAGCTGGGACTTAAACTGGAGCCCATATTGGGTACCAGTCCCCGCAGGCAAAGGCTTAGCTGCTGCACCACCACCGGCCCATTGGACATTTCCATCATTGCAGAAAGTCCTGCTGGATCTAAGGGTGCTATGAAAAACAAAGTAGTATACACAATGGATTGGCTGAGCTGATAATTGTGATTTTTGTTAGTCCTATATTTTTAAAAAAGGATAATTGGACAATAAAAGTATCCTAAGGAGTTATACTATTTTGATATCAGAACTATGGTCCTAGGTCTCTTTCTTGTGCTTACAAGCAACATACAAATCTTTCCTCCAATTGCATCTTGATTCGCCTGTCAAGTCCTGGGGTTTTCTCAAGACACAAAATTAAGGGACAAGGCAAGGGACCCAGGCGGGAACTGGCTCATGTGGGGCCTGGCAGGGCTGGGTGCTGCAGGGCCAACTGTAGGTTGTGCAGGAGCTGTTCCTGAGGCCTGGGGCCAAGTCCCTGCTCCCTCTGCAGCCAGAGCACCCTTTGTTTTCCCTGGCGTGGGCCCACAATTTAGGGGATGAGGCCCACCCACCAGGGGGAGGAGATATGCCTAACTCAGCCTCCTGATGGAACATTCATCTCATTAAAAAAAAATAAAAAGTCTAGATTGGTATTTGGCCAACAGTCTGGATACTGTGGCCTCACTGCAGGGATCTAGAAGATGAATCATCACCATCAGTTCCAACCAGGTCATTCGATTCCAGGCTGTGTTCCAGGAGGCAGGCGGCAGACACACAACACACAGCAGAACACAGCCACCTAGACACCCCTGCCTGGGCCGGGATGTCGCTACTCCTGGCCTGTCCAGGACAGGACACCTGAAGCTTCACCTCCCTAAACCCTGCCTGCCTCAGTGCCATAGGGCCCTGTGGCTGGCGAGGCAGCTGCAGTGGGCAGCCAGCAGGCAGGAAGAGCCCTGGGAACCACAGGGCCTCCCCTCAGCTTCCTCTGAATCTCATCCCAGGCAGCTGGCAGGTGTCCTGTGCCCCACCCCATGTTGGGGGGTTGGTGTGAGCCAGGGTAAGCTGAGCCTCTCAGCAGCCCTGCCCTGGATCCCAGTGGGAATCTGCTCCTCAGACATCCTCTCACAGGGCCACTTGTCTATCAGCCTTGCAACCTTCTGCCTTCTTCTGAGACTCTGTTACACATCAGATCTCTGGGTGGGGCCTGGGAACAAATTACAATGGTGGGCAAGACGGACCCAGTCCCTGACTTCAAGTGCAGAGAGCTGAAGGCAGGGCTGGACATGGCAGCACTAATGAGGGCTGGTGGTGTTAGAGCTGGGTGACTGTGTCGGGGGGCCCTGAGTAAGGGCAGGCTTCTTCACCATGATGCTGCCAATGGCTTTTACCCTTCTGGGGTGCAGGGCCAGGGTTGGGCAATGGGCATGAAATGCTCACAGCCTGCCGTGCTCCACCAGGTATCCTGCTGCACTGTGAAATCCTGGCTTATACCTCAAAGAGGCTCCTAAGAGAGACCTTCCTGGACCACGCGGAGCTCCAGCCTGGGTTCCCAGGGTTCTCCATGCGGGTCCAGAATAGGGTTTGCTCTTCCCAGCCCGCCCAGTGCAGAGCCCTTTCTGTCACCAGCCTACCCCCTGTCCCTATCTGTCCGTCTGCTCTGCTGCTTCTCCCAACTTCCTGGGAGGTAGCACCAAGTTCACTGACACCCAGTTGCTTGCTTGCTGTCCTTGACTGCTTCTTCGAGCTCAGGGTATTCACCTGCTAACCGTCTGAGAAAGTGAGGTGGGCAGGCAGAGGAGGGTGTACCTGCACCCGGGCTCTGCAGGCAGAGGGAGATCTTGATGGGTGAGGCTGGGGAGATGAGTCCCGGCCAGAGGGAACCACACGCACTGGACACCCAGCCTTATGGCCTGCTGTGTGCTCAGGACTGTTTCCCATGTGGTTGGGATCTGAACTCCTTCTGATTCTCTGACCACAGACATCATCACTGCCACCTTACTCAGCCCAGCCTGGGCCTGAGACAGTGGTATGGGGAAGGAACTGAGCCTAGGCTGCCATGGTGAGTCAGGAATTGCCCGAAGTAATCGCATGCTCCTGCCAGGGCTGACCCAGCAGGTGCTCCATGAGTGATGGCAGAGTTGGGCGTGGGAGGAAGGAACACTTGATTGTACCACGCAAACCTGCAGGCATCTGCACTGGGCTAGGCCTGGGACTGTGGGCATGGGGTGGCCCCTCTTACTCACCATGGGAGGATCACAGCACCCCAGGTTTACAAATCTGTGGAGCCAGGGTGCCCTCCAGGAAGCAGAGAGGCGAGATGCAGTTCCCACTTAGAGTGAGGGAGCAGTGGGATTCTCCCTGCAGGGGTCCTTGTGCTTGCCCATGCCCACCACAGCATTCCCACGGGTTTGGGGACCCTGACCCCAATCACTGGCCTTTCCTAAACTCCCTCTTCCCAAGCCCTGCCCCCTACCAATCAACACCTTCCAGAAGCAGAGCTTAGTTCCATGCCTAGAGCTGAAGTTTTTTTTTTTTTTTAGATTTATTTATTATTTTTATTGCAAAGTAAGATATATAGAGAGGAGGAGAGACAGAGAGGAGGATCTTCCGTCCAATGATTCACTCCCCAAGAGACTGCAATGGCTGGAGCTGTCCTGATCTGAAACCAGGAGCCTCTTCCAGCTCTCCCACGTAGATGCAGGGTCCCAAAGCTTTGGGTTGTCCTGGATTGTTTTCCCAGGCCAGGGAAGTGGGGCTGCCAGGATTAGAACTGGTGCCCATATGGGATCCTGGTGCATGCAAAGTGAGGACTTTAGCCACTAGGCCGTGCCAGGCCCTGAGCTACAGGTTTTTAAGATTTCTTTCTTTCTTTCTTTCTTTCTTTCTTTTTTTTTTTTTTTTTTTTTTGATGGGGGAGGAGGTTTAGATTTATTTTTCCATTTGGAAAAAAAAAAAAACCAAAACTTTTTTTTCATTTGTTTGAGAGGCAGAGATCTCTTTTTGGGGGGAAGGTGGGGTTAAAGATTTATTTGTACTGCAAAGTCATATATACAGAGAGGAGGAGAGAGAGAGGAAGATCTTCCATCCAATGATTCACTCCCCAAGTGACCACAAAGGCTGGTACAGTGTCAATCCAAAGCCAGGAGCCAGGAACTTCTTTCCGGGTCTCCCACGCGGGTATAGGGTCCCAAGGCTTTGGGGCGTCCTTGACTGCTTTCCCAGGCCACAAGCAGGGAGCTGGATGGGAAGTAGGGCCACCAGGATTAGAACCAGTGTCCATATGGGATCCTGGCACATTTAAGGTGAGGACTTTAGCAGCTAGGCCACCATGCCAGGCCCTGAGCTACAGGTTTTTAAGATTTCTTTCTTTCGGGCCCGGCGCGGTGGCGCAAGTGGTTAAAGTCCTCGCCTTGCACCCCCGGGATCCCATATGGGCGCCGGTTCTAATCCCGGCAGCCCCGCTTCCCTTCCAGCTCCCTGCCTGTGGCCTGGGAAAGCAGTCGAGGACGGCCCAAAGCTTTGGGAACCTGCACCCGCGTGGGAGACCCGGAAGAGGCTCCTGGCTTCGGATCGGCATAGCATCGACCCGTTGCGCTCACTTGGGGAGTGAATCATCGGACGGAAGATCTTCCTCTCTGTCTCTCCTCTCTGTATATCCGCCTTTCCAATGAAAAAATAATAAAAATAAATCTTTAAAAAAAAAGATTTCTTTCTTTCTTTCTTTTTTTTTTTTGATGGGGGAGGAGGTTTAGATTTATTTTTCCATTTGGAAAAAAAAAAAAAACCAAAACTTTTTTTTCATTTGTTTGAGAGGCAGAGAGTTCTTCCATCCACCAGTTTACTACCCAAACGGCAGCAGCAGCCAGGGCTGGCCCAGAGGGAAGCCTGAGTCCAGTATTCTAGCTCTTCCCACTCAGTATCCCAGGATGGACAGTAGCAAGAAGCTGGAATGAGAAGCAGAGTCAGGATTTGAACCCATGTCCTCCTGTGTAGGCCGTGGGCATCCAGTTTTTAAGTTGTTGAAGTAGCAGAAACTGTTCATCAAAGTTTTTGAAAGGGGCTGATGCCAAGGTCCCCTAGGCCTCTTGCCATGTGAACTTGAGGTCTCTTGGGGCCCTTGAGACCTGTCTGAGCACCCTGCCCACCCGCCAGAACCCTGCAGAACCCATTGGAAGGTCTTTGGATATCAAAGTGCCTGTGGGTGGAGTGGGAAGCCCTTGTGCTTGGAGTCTTAGGATTCTGGAGATGACCCCAAGTTTGTGCTCAGTGCTGGGATGGGCAGAGTTTGACTGTGATGTCGGAGCTTGAGCTGCTTGTAGAAAACCTCGTGCCACTTGCGTGGCTGGGTGGAAGCGGTTGGCTAGCTCGGCTGGAGCCCGGAGCCTGGTGATTGACCAGGCTGTTGCCAATGAAGCATTTAGGCTGCACTTACGCTTTTCTGCAAACATTGTCGGGAGACACTGGGAGTTCTGTGTTCACGGGCTGGCCTTGCTTGGCTTACAGAAATTCCAGGTTTAAGGGTCAAAGGAATTTTTTACCTCACAAGGATTACTGTCTCTGTCCCCTCCATCCAGAAAAGAGCCAGGCTGCAGGCGTGGCCCTGGGCAGCTTCCCAGCAGGCAGCCAGACAGAGCCATCACTGAGATTGGGGGAACCGGTGACCATCCTCTCTGAGTAAGTCTGTGGCAGCAGCTGTGCTCATGGGGACGGGCGCCCATCCTCCAAGCAGAAAGTTGTGTGGTGGAGCATTCACACTCCACACTCATGGGGAAAAGCAAGGCGTGGGCCACTTCCAACAGGGAGCCTTGTCACGCCCACCTGCCACACCCTGGCTCCTGTGGTTTTGGTGCAAGGAAGCCTGGGAAACCATGGGGGCTGAGCCAGTGCCTAGCTTCTGGGGTCCTGCTCCTCTGCAGGAGGTGGCTGTCTCCTCTCTCCACGCAGGGATGGAGACTGGTGGACGGTGCTGTCAGATGTCACGGGCCGGGAGTACAGCATTCCCAGCGTCCTTGTGGCCAGAGTGTCCCACGGGTGAGTGCCCAGCCCAGGCATCCGAGGGAGTGAAGGGGTTTCAGAGCTGCCAGCCCACCCCACCCTGTCCTGCTGCAGGTGGCTGTATGAAGGCCTGAGTCGGGAGAAGGCTGAGGACTTGCTGCTGCTGCCTGGGAACACTGGTGGGGCCTTCCTCATCCGGGAAAGCCAGACCAGGAGAGGTGAGTAAGCACGGCCCCCACACGGCCATGGAATCGGGGGCACCCTCAGTCATCTGGCCCAGCCTGTGTGGCCAGATGAGAGGCAGTTCACAGAGGCAATAGGAGACTTGAATGGAGCTGTGACTGAGATGGATTGCAGGATGCTTGGCCTGGGACCCTGGTGTGTGAGACCCAGTGGTGCCAGGTGGCCTGCGGGAGCTGCACCTGGGGGGCTCCCTGGGCTGACCTCCACCCAGCCCCTCCTGCCCTTTGCAGGCAGTGTCAGTACCCCCACCTTTACACACACAAACACCACTCTATGGAGCCCCTGGTGAGGAGCTGGCCCCAGTGCAGCGGCTGCAAACAGGAAACCACAGCCATTGTGCTGACAGGGCCAGGGCCCTGCAGACCAGCGCTGAACATGAGAAGCCACAGGAAGTGCTCCGTGCTCAGCTGCCCCCTTACCACTCCCCTGTGGCCTGGTAAGACCCCAGGAGTGCAAGTGACCTGGCCTTGCTGCCACTCTGTCCCTTTTTAAGATGGTCTCTGTGCATAAGAGCTTAGGTGAGTGATAGACAAAGCACAGCATGAACACAGGGGTTTCCAAGATTCTGTCATGACCAGCATCAAGGTCTCTGGCCAATACCGGAAGGAGGGGGTCAGGGTGTAGTTCTCCTCAGAAAGGAAGATACCTGGGGCTGGTGTGATGGCTCAACAGGCCAATCATCCACCTGGGGCACTGGCATCCCCATATGGGTGCTAGTTCATGCCCTGGCTGCTCCACTTCCTATCCAACTTTCTGCTGATGGCCTGGGAAGGCAGTGGAGGGTGACCCAAAGCTTTGGGACCCTGTACCTGCATGGAGACCAGAAGAAATTCCTGGCTCCTGACTCCTAGCTTCAGATCACGAAAGGAGCAGGCTTTCTCATATTCTAGTCGAAAGGCAGACTTGCAGAGAGAGCTCTCATCTGCTAGTTCACTCCAAATGCTGGCAACATCCTAGGCTGGGCCGGGCCAGAGCCAATGACCAGTAACTCCACTTGGGTTTGCCATGCGGAAGGCAGGGACTCAGGCCCTTGAACCATCACCTGCTGTCTCCCAGGTGCATTAACAGGGAGCTGGATTGAAGCAGAAGTCAGACACATTACTACAGATGCAGGCATCCCAAAGGTTAGCTTGACTTGCTGCACACACCCGCCCACCCCTTTTCTGACGTCTAATCCCCCATCCGGAGCTCTGATTGGGGGCCCTTTTTGTCACTGACTGGGCCAGAGGGTATTGCCCTGTGGGTCTCAGCACCAGCTGGAGAACTTGCTAGAGTGAGGATATCTGGGCCCACACCTAATACCCGCACCCTTGAGGCTGCGTAGGACCTGAGAAAGTTTCTCCAAGTTCTCAGGTGGTGCAGGTGCTGCTGGTCTAGACCTTGGCTATAGCACCCCACCCCTAGAGGTGCTGGTGCCCCCAGGTCGGGCCAAGAGGGAGAACTCATGTGTGCAAGCAGCCAAGAACATGGTGGGGATTGAGGTGACTGCTGCTTTGGGTACCTGGCCCACGTATTTCTAAGCAGCTGTGTGTGACTGTACACTGCAATCTGTGGCCCTGGAGTGGCTTGACCCCACAGCTGAGAGGTGGCAGGGATGTGGGCCCCACCATATGCCCGGCTCAGGCTGCCAGGGGCAGAGGTCAGCATGGTCTCCTATAATCTCACTGTAGGGAGGCAGACTGTAGGAGTGCATGCCTGTGTTCTGGCACTTGGCTCTGTGCATTGTGTGAGGTTGGGGAGCAGGCCAAAGTCTTCAGGGAGCTGTGCCCCGGCCTGGGGCCAGGGCAGATCCAGGCCATCGGTTCCCTGTGGAGTCTTTCTGGGGAGAGGACTCTGGGTTGGAGTGACCTATCTTGGTGGAGGTGGGAAGCTGTCCCAGGGGTGAAGTGGTCTGGTGGAGCCAGTAGCCTGTTGGCTGTGTGTATGGTGGGGAGGTGGCCACCGGAGCGGTGACTCAGACTGGGACTGGGTGAGAGGTAGCACTGTTTACCAAGGTGGCAGATGGTGGGAGGATGGAGTTAGAGTCACCCCAGCAGGGCTCACAGTGGGTTAGTAAGGTGGGGTGGAGGGTTGGACAGCAGCAGGAGCGCATGGTACCACAAGGTGCAGGGCTTCTCTTTCTAATCAGCTCTCTGCTAACGTGCCTAGAAAAGAAGTAGAGGATGGCCCAGGTACCACATGGCAGATGAAGCACCTTGCTTCAGCTTGGCCCAGCTGAGGCTGTTGTGACCATTTGGGGAGTAAAGCAGCAGATGGAAGATCCTGCCTTGATTTGTTCTTTTTTTTTTTTTTAAAGATTTATCTATTTTTATTGCAAGGTCAGATATACAATGAGGAGAGATAGGAAAATCTTCCGTCCACTGATTCACCCCCAAGTGACTGTAATGGCCGATGCTGACAATCCGAAACCAGGAGCCAGGAACTTCCTCCAGGTCTCCCACGGGTGCAGGAACCCAAGGCTTTGGGGCATTTTTGACTGCTTTCCCAGGCCACAAGCAGGGAGCTGGATGGGAAGCTGGGCTGCTGTGATTAGAACCGGCGCCCATATGGGATCCTGGTGTATTCAATGTGAGAACTTCAGCAGCTAAGCCACTGTGCTGGACCCTCCTGCCTTGATTTGTAACTGCTTTTCAAGTCTTCCACATATGACCCAGCCTGGATGTTGTAGGTATTTGGGGAGTGAACCGAGTGCACCCATGTTCTCTCCCTAATTTGCCTTTAAAAGTGGTTGCTATAATTGTAAGGATTTGGGGTCTGTATATGGGGGACCCTGAGAATGGTTCCTTCTTGTTCTAAGAGTTCTGTAGAACTGGGTCATTTCTAATTGTCTGGTGAAAGCCTTCTGGAGCCAGAGCTTGCTTTCTGGGCAATTTAACTCAATTACTCAATAGCTATACACTCAACAGTTATAATGTTACTTTGTGTTTCCTCCTATTTGTAATAGCAATTTTGATCACTTTTTAGTTTTGTTTTTAATTGGAAAGTCAGATTTACAGAGTAGACAGAAAGATCTTCCACCTGCTGGTTCACTCCCCAAATGGCCACAACAGCTGGAACTGAGCTGATCTGAAGCCAAGAGCCCAGAGCTTCTTCTGGGTGCAGGGTCCCAAGGCTTTGGGGCCATCCTCTGCTGCTTTCCCAGGCCACAGGCAGGGACCTGAATGGGAAGTGGAGCAGCTGGGTCCTGAACCAGTATCCATTTAGAATCCTGGCACATGCAAAGCAAGGATTATAGCCAATAGGTTACTGTGCTGGGCCCATGAACTCATATTTCTAAAATATATACAAGTATGTGTATGTGTCATATAAGGTCTAGGCTACTGTGCTGAGTCCATGAAATTTTTTCATGGGCCTGGCACAGTAGCCTAGTGGCTAAAATCTTCGCCTTGTATGTGACAGGATCCCATATGGGCACCGGTTCTAATCCCAGTGGCCCACTTCCCACCCAGGGAAAGCAGTCGAGGACAACCCAAAGCCTTGGGACTCTGTACCCAGGTGGGAGAGCTGGAAGAGGCTCCGGGCTAATAATCTGCTCTTCCTCCTTTTCCTTTTCCTTGGGAGGTGCCATTCCTGTTTAAAAAGATTAAAGAACACAGTGCAGGGAGACAGGGCTCTCCCATCCGCCTGGTCACTCCCTGCGTGGCCCCAACAGTCCGTACTAGGCCAGCCTCTGTGCATTCTGCTTGCCCTCTGCTTCTGCCTGCAGTCATTTACACTGCTGTATGGTACTCTACAGTCTGCACGATCCTTTGCCTAGTCCCAATGGGCTGTTGACAATCCTAGCTTTCACAAATGCTGCCACTGTGACTATGTCTGCCCATGTGTTTCTAAGGTCACATGTCCACAGTGGAACTACTGGGGGTCTGTGTGGTCAGCCCCGCTTGTTGCTAAAGTGGCTGGTACTATTCCAGCAGCAGGGATAGTTCTGCTGCTTCTCACCTTGCTAACAACTGTAACCCCCCGCCCCTGCCATGTACAAACAGCTGCTACCTACTGTGGGCTCACCTTGCCCCAGTGTCCACCCTGAAGGTCTGTGCAGGGACCTCCCATCATCCATTAAGAAATCTGATTTAACAGCCAAGTGTCTGTCCCTGTGTGGGTGTGTGCAGCTGGGGCAGGGTCCCAGCAGGACATCATTGCCACCCTGGTCCCTTGTCTCCAGGCTGTTACTCTCTATCAGTCCGCCTCAGCCGCCCTGCCTCCTGGGACCGGATCCGACACTACAGGATCCAGCGCCTCGACAACGGCTGGCTGTACATCTCACCGCGCCTCACCTTTCCCTCACTGCAAGCCCTGGTGGACCACTATTCAGGTATGGCCCTCCCTCCCTACTGGACAGAGGGCATCCCTGAGCTGGGAGGCACAGGCTGGGAGCTGGTCTTCGGCCCAGATTCATACCTTGTCCTGTAGGGGATTTACCAGGGCTGCCTCGGGTGGTGCCGGGAAGTCCTCTCCTGGGAGCACTAGTCAAGCAGGGGCAGGCACCTGCAGTGCTCCTGCAAGGGCCTGTGCTTGGCGGCCTTCTCTCAGCCATGATGGTGTGTTAGCTGACCCAGATGTGCATGGTGAGGTTGTAGCCCAGAGCACCCTGGACTGCACCCCAGCCTCTGAGACAACAACTTGGGGTTCACAGGCCGTCAGATTTGGTGACCATCTCCCCCATCCAGTGTCATAATGTTAGTGAGGATGGGGAGCAGGGGAGCGTGTGGGGGGTGGGGGGGAACTGCAGTGAGCACCGTCAAGGCCCTGGTCTCCCCCACAGAGCTTGCAGATGACATCTGCTGCCTCCTTAAGGAGCCCTGTGCCCTGCAAAGAGCAGGCCTGCCCCCTGGCAAGGACATACCTCTGCCAGTGACAGTGCAGAGGGGGCCACTCAACTGGGAAGAGCTGGACAGGTGAGAGTCTCCCAGAATCCTGAGCGGGGAAACAAAGCAGCTAGCAGGACCTCCCTGGGAACCCACAAGGCGGGATGTGCCTGGGCACCCAGGAAACCGGAACTAGACACCTGAGCCCAGCCAGGGCTTAGAGAGGTCAGGGAGGGGAGAGGGCCTGTGAGTCCAGGCAGGCAGGATGGAAAGGCGTGAGGATCCCAGTCCTGAGGGCCGAGGTGACAGGGAACAGGGCGCCTGTGCCTCAGTTGTCAGGAGATGCAGAGTAGAGAGCTGTGTGACCTGTGAGGACTGACCCTGGCAGGAGACCACTCCTTGACCACCACCTCTCTCTGTACACAGCTGCCTCCTATTTGGTGAGGGAGTGGAGGCTGCAGGCCAGGAGTCTCTCCTCAGCGAGGGGCTCCGGGAGTCCCTGAGCTCCTACCTCAGCCTGACTGACCACAGCTCCTTGGACGATGCCGAAGTCCAAAGCAGAGGCCGGAAGGAGAGCCGAGGTGGCTGCACATAGAACTCCTACCTGGTTGCACCAGACTGGTGCCACAGAGGTGAGGCCATGTGCTCAGTGCAGGGTGGGCTGCTCTCTCCCCGGGACTCTCAGGCAGTCACAGGCCTTGTCCAGGGCTATCACCTCCTCAGCAGCTCCCCCTGGGGTCAGCAAAGAGCTGCAGAGTTTGGGATTTCAGTGTGGAAACCACTGTTGGCGCTGCGCACACCTGTACCCCGAGCAGGCCAGGTGGTGGGCTGGAAGGCACAGGTATTCAAGGGCCCGATGACTTCCCCAGCAGCAGTCTGTCCCTCGCCACCACTTACCTTTCCTTCTTAAGTCCTGGCTTAGCTCTCAGCTTCTTCCTGTGGCTTAGTGGTCAAACCTGGTCCCTTCCCTAGTCACCTCAGCCTTGCCATCTTGTGGCCAAATGCAGAATGACACTTCCTAGCAGCCTGATTCCAGGCCGCATTTCGGAAGAGGGGCTTGGCTGGAAGTGCTAGGGGAACAGGAAGGTGGCTCCCAGCATGGTGAGAAGGGCATCACCAAGTATCAACAAATTCCCAATTAATGAATGATTTGATTTATTCAAGTATCTGAAAACATTCTCTAATGGAAACTGTTATTAGATGCTGCTGTACTGTGCAATGGCCCATGAAGTATTGCCACACTGTTTTCAGAAGACTTGAAATGCCACTGATAGTTTAAAAAACTGTGCACCTGACAGAAGACCGAGGAAGACAACTGAATGTGTTGTCAGGATCCAGAGGCGCAGCAGCTAAAGCAACAGCTCCTAGCGTGCAGCCAGTGGCCACCATGTGCCAGCATCCGGCAGGAAGGGCGGCGAAGGACTCACTCAGAAATACTTCCCAGAGGGGAACGGTTCCTTAAAAAGTCTTAGGGCACAACCCTGTAGCAGAGACGCCCGACACACGGATTCTTTGTCCAGTAAACATGGGTCTTCCAAGTCCCACGCAGCTGGGGTGGCTCGACAGTTATGCTTCTGTACTGTGCCTGAGGGGCCTCTGGATGGGGCAGGGAGCGGGTGCGAGTCGCGCAGCCTCAGTCATAGTGGATGGCAGTGTAGAAGATGATCCAGATGACCTAGGGAGAGCACAGCAACATCACAGGCCACCGGGCCCCACAGTGTGACTCCACGCCCCAGGATAAGGACAGCAGCTGCCATCATGTGCACGGGGGCCTGGCTGCACTAAGATGGGGCTCTCTTTACAGCATGACAAGTAGGTACAAGATTCCAGCGTCACACCCTGTGACACGGAGCACTCCCCTCTGCTATCTGGACTCCAGGACCACCCTGGTTTTCATTTACTCCAATTACAAAGCATCCACAGTGGAAGCCTGTGCACACTACTGACCACTTCCTTCTCGTGCCTCCCCGCACCCGGTCATCTGGGAATCCATGTTTGTCTTTTCAGATTTGCCTATTGCAGACATTCTGCACAAACACAACTCTACAACATGGGCTTCTGGGTCTGCTGTGTGGGTGCATGTGGCAGCAGCAGCCCTCCCTCAGCTGTCCCCAGGCAGCAGCATTTGAGCTGTGTGCCTCCTTAGATCCTGAGGGCCAGACACGGTCAGGGAGCCGAGGCGGGGTCGGCCCCAGGTGCACATACAGTGACGTCGCTGTGCAGTCTCTCACTGCACTTAGGATACGGTGGCTCCAGAGGGGCCGTACTCTTCAGCCTCTGGAGGAATCTGAGCAGCAGCATTGGGTCATAGAGTGTAATCTAGTCAGTGGACTCTCCCCGAGTAGTAAACACCCTGAGAGGAGTGGTGCCCACTGTAAGGCGTTGGTGTCCTTACCATGAACAGGGCAAAGGAGGTCATAAAGCCTTCCTTGGTGAGCTCCCACGTGCCGCCGTACTCCTCCTCATCAATCTGTAGGTAGTTGCTGAAGTAGAGGTACAGGACTCCCGCATTGATGAGGCAGAATCTGCAGAGGGCAGACAGCAGCCACACCATGAGCTCAGCAGCCGCGAAACTCCCTGCACCTCCATCTTTCAGGGCTCTTCCTGGCACCATGCCACCTTGGTTAACTGGGCAGGATTCGGCTTGGGAGGAGGCCACGTACGGGCCTTCTGTGAGCAGATGCAATGGGCTGGAGCCCAAGGTAGGTCCACAGTCACATTTCAGGATATGACAGTGAACAGTGTGAAGTCAGAGAAGCAACTGAATGTGGAAAGCAACAATGCCCGGGGGCCAGTGTTGTGGCTCATGGGGTACGTCTGCCATCTGTGATGCTCGTACCCCATTTGAGTGCCAGCTGAGTCCTGGCTGTTCCATCTCTGACCCAGCTCCTGGTGATGTGTCTGGGGAAGCAGCAGAGGATGTCTGAGCCACTGTGAGTCACAAGAGACCCAGGTGGAGCTCCAGGCTCCTGGGTATGAGCTGGCCATTGAGGCCATTCAGGAGTGAACCAGTGGATGGAAGACTTCTCTTTCTCTTCCTCTGCCTTTCAACTAAATATAAATCTTTCAAAAACAAATCCTGGGACCCCGCCAACTCTGACCACCTTCTGTTGACAACTTTCCATGTGGACAGGCTGACAGCCAGGACAGGTGGGAGCTTGGGAGGCCACTGTGAGGCTCAGCCCAGGCTGACTTTGGCCCTGTTCTCAGGGCTACATGCTGAGCAGAGGGAGCGGGGAAAGAGACGCTGGAATCCAACATCGGGTGTTCAGAGGTGGACAGGCGTGCTTCAGGCTCCCCCAGGCTTTCAGGATGGCAGAGCTGCCATCTACACACTGGCAGGATGGCAGCCAGTGTGTAGACAGAGCAAGGTGCGTGCTGGCAGTGAGGTCAGAGGATCACAGTAAAGACTGACTCGCAGTGGGTTAAGGAGATGAAGTCTGTCCCGCCTCCCAGGGCCATGCCACCCACAGAAAAGGCTGCTGCTTGTTCCACGCTAAAGGGTCAACAGATCCGCTAACAAGAGGCCAGCATCACAGCGCAGTAAGTTAAGCCTCTGCGGAGCACCCCACGTGGGTACTGGTTCAAATCCAGGCTACTCCACTTCTGGCTCCAGCTCTTTGCTAACGGCTTAGGAAAGCAGTGGAAGATGGCCTGGGTGCTTGTGCCCTGGACCCCCATGGAAGACCTGGAGGAAGCTCCAGACTTAGGATGGGACCAGCTCTGGCCACTGAGGCAGTCTGGGGAATGAACCAGTGGATGGAAGATCTGTCTCTTCTAACTATGTCTTTCAAACAAAAATAAATCTAACATAAATAAATAAACCCAACAGCACAAGCATTCTCTAAGCACCCACAGGTCATGTGACAAATTCTAAGACATAGGTGAGGGGGGACCTCTCGAGTAGTGCACAGCTGGGGCGAGCAAGGCAGAAACGGAACACCAAGACCCAAAGAGATGGAGGCACTGGGCCTGACATGATAGTGTAGCAGTTAAAGTCCTCACCTTGAACGCACTGGGATCCCATATGGGCGCCAGTTCTAATCCCAGCCAACCTGCTTCCCATCCAGCTCCCTGCTTGTGGCCTGGGGAAGCAGTTAAGGATGGCCCAAAGCTTTGGGACCCTGAACCCATGTGGGAGACCTGGAAGAAGCTCCTGGCTTCAGATTGGCTCAGCTCCGGTTGTTGCAGCTACTGGGGAGTGACTCATTGGACGGAGGATCTTCCTCTCTGACTCTCTTCTTCTCTATATATCTGCCTTTTCAATAAAAATAAATAAATCTTTTAAAAAAAAAAAGAGAGAGAGATGGAGGCACTTAACAAGCGAGCAGTTCAAACAGCATTAAGAGGAGACCCAGCATTAAGAGGGGCCAGGCCTGTGTAGCTGCATCCAAGGGAACAAAGGCAACCTGAGTAGACGATCAACTTCCAAGGCATTTCCAAGTGCAAGGAAAGGTACCAGCTGCAGCCACAGATGCTGGTCTCTGGCACGGTCTCCTGTGACTGAGCTCCCACTCACTGTCTTACCGTCCCACTCAACATGGGAGAAGACCAAGCTTCTAAGTTACACAGCTAGAATCAGAATGCAGAGCATTCCATGATGTGTGGGTACAGTAGGAGGAAGCCACTGGTCTAACTCTGGTCCTGGCTGTGTCACTGCCAGGCAGGTGACATCAGAGAAGACCCCAGATGTGTGCCAGCACTCAGAGCCAGTGCTGTTCCTCTCCCAACCCCAAGCAACCTCTTGCTTGGGGTGTCCCCATTCCACTGGCATGCCCCCTCTGCTCAACCACTGAAGGCCTGGCGGGGCCAGGACCAAACCAACATTCTCAGGATGTGTCTCAGTGCCTCCTCAGGTCTTCAGTGTCCACCCTGCCAAGGCTAGGCAGCACACACACTCTGGAGTCCCTGCACAAACACCTTCGTATCAGGGCAAACCATCACCATGGTTAGCACAGGGGATGCTACTACAGCCCTGCCCCCATTCCAAGTCTCACTTGTTGTGGTTTCTGCTCCCCACAGCCTGAAAATGTTGAATGGAAATAAACAGCTTATAAGTTTCAAACTGCATGCCATTCATTCATGCCCAGGGCCTCTACAGAGCATCTGCTACCCATCTACCAGTCACTGCAGGGTGAGGACATGAGTCTCTGAGAGAAGACATGACTTGCCCCAGTTCCAGGGTTCAGGAGGTGGGCCTGGGGGCAGGACTGTGCCCTCAGGAGGTGGTTCTCAGGAGAGGGCTGCTTCCTTCAGGCTGAGCCCAACCATCTGCTTCCTGGCTGGCACTGCCATCCTGCCTCTGCATGTGTCCCGCCACCTGGCCAGCCTCGGATGCCAGGCCAGTGGGGCTACCTGCAAAGCTGCCAATGACAGAACCCCTCTTTCCTAAGCAGCTTCCCTCAGGCACAGGTCAGGGAGTCAAAAAGCCGGGTACTCCACTGAGTGCCTGTCACAACCTCACAGGGATTCCCACTGCACACACACTTCCCACAGTGCACTGCTGCAGTTGTCCTAGCCCATCCATTAGTAATGTTTTCCTGCGCTTGCAGGCTATATCACGTGGATGGAAATATAGGGAAATCATCCAGTACTCCAAGGGGTTTCAGGCTTCTGCTGGGGGTGGGGTGGGAGGAAAACCCTTGTGATATATCCCTTTGGATAAAGGGAAAACTGGTATATGTTGTTGTCTGACAAAAAATGCCTGAAATCTTTCACCTCTTGCCCTAATGAAAGAGAATAACAGGGCCCAGCACGATAGCTTATTGGCTAAAGGACTCGCCTTGCATGTGCCGGAACTCCATCTGATGACGGTTCATATTCTGGCTACTTTACTTCCCACCTGGCTCCCTGCTTGTGGCCTGGGAAAGCAATCGAGGAGGGCCCAACATCTTGGGACCCTGCATCTATGCGGGAAACCCAGAGGAGGCTCCTGGCTCCCTGCTGCTTCGGGTCAAATCAGCTCAATTCCGACAACTGCAGAAACCTGCGGAGTGAACCAGTGGATGGTGGATCTTTGTCTCTCTTCTCTGTATATCTGACTTTGCAATAAAAATAAATATATCTAAAAAAAAAAAAAGAGGACCTGGTGCATAGCATAGTGCCTTAAGTTCTCGCCTTGCAAGCGCTGGGATCCCACATGGATGCCAGTTCTAATCCCTGCGACCCCGCTTCCCATCCAGGCTTCCCAAAGCCTTGCAATCCTGCACCAGCGTGAGAGACCCAGAAGAAACTCCTGGTTCATGGCTTCGGATTGGCGCAGTTCCAGCCGTAGCGGCAACTTGGGGAGTGAATCAACGGACGGAACATCTTCCTCTCTTTTCTCCTCTCTGGATATCTGACTTTCCAATGGAAATAAATATTTAAAATATATATATAGTATTGGGGCCCGGTGCGATAGCATAGTGGTTAAACTCCTCGCCTTGCATGTGCTGGGATCCCATATGGTCACTGGTTCTAATCCTGGCAGCCTTGTGATCCTGCACCAGCGTGAGAGACCCAGAAGAGACTCCTGGCTCCTGGCTTTGGATTGGTGCAGCTCTAGCCGTTGCAGTCACTTTGGGAGTGAAACATCGGACGGAAGATCTTCCTCTCTGTCTCTACTCCTCTCTGTATATTGCCTTTCCAATAAAAATAAATAAATTTTATATATAAAAAATAGTATTAGAGAAATGAATATCAAGAGATGTGATCGGGGCTAGTGCTGTGATGTAGTAAGTTAAAGCCACCGCCTGCAGTGCTGGCATCCCATATGCGTGCCAGTCTGAGCCCTGGCTGCTCCACTTTTAACACAGCTCTCTGCTAATTGCCTGGGAAAGCAGCAGGAGACGGCCCAAGCCTGGGTCCCTGTATCCATATAGCAGACCCACAGGAAGAGCCACGCTCCTGACTTAAGATCAGCCATTACAGCCATTTTGGAGAATGAACAGCGGACTGAGGGTCTCTGTCCCTCCTTGTCTGTATTTCTGCCTTTTAAACAAAAATAACAACAAATTATGCAAACACCCTTAAGATTCATGCCCACGTCCCAAACCGCCTGGTGACAACTCCATCCATGGGTGCAGGGACTCACTTTAAGTGACTGGTAAACTGAGCCATGACTAGGGGATACCACCTGCCACACTTGCAAAGTAGGATGTGGGAGGAGTCAGCCCCCTACTATGGGCTGCTTCGGGAAGGTAGGGGCCTGAAATAACTTCTGCCAAGACTCAGCACGTCCAGCACAGAGCCAAGTACAAACTAAGTCCACAAGTACTACTCCTGCAAGCACCAAAGTGGACTGTGTGCCACCTCCAAGGAATACGGTCAGCCCAGTTTCAGGAGGTAGTGGGCCTGGCCTGAGGCTCGCCCTGGACCTGTGGACTTGACAGTGCTGTAGTGGATCGGGGTGAGCCACGCAGAGGCCACCTCCTCCCTCACACAGCTCTAAAACAGTAATGGCTCTTCCCCGAAAAAGGAGAGTAAAACCTCTAAAAACAAACTTCAGCCGCGGACCACAGGACACTTACCCTGCTATTCCCAGGAAGCCCCGTAAGGGCAGCACTCCCCAGATGACCCCCAGGACCACAGCAATGATCTGGCGGAACCAGTAGATCACATCTAAAAATTCATCCTGCAGGGAAGACAGAGACATTGCCTGCATTACCTGGAGTGTCGTGCAGAAGCCTTCTCCAGGGGACTCCCCCAAGGACACCCCTCAGCTAGTCTAGAATGCTGTAAAAACAACATGTCTAACAGCTTAGGTGACCACTTCCAGTCTGAGGTCCAGACCAACACCTCTGGGATAAGCAGTTACTTTTCAGAAAACTAACGGGCTTGCCACTAAACAGCCGTGCCAGTCAACTGTACTGCCGGACCTCAGGAGCTCAGCTAGCCCTGAAGGGGTGGGGGACCCACCAGTCCGACAGCAGAGCTGTGCACACACCTGAAACAATTCGCCCAACCCCAAGTCTTAGTTAAGTCACACCCAGGAGAGGAGGACTGGCAGGTACCAGCGTTATCTGCCTTCCGCAGGAGACTGGGGCTGCTGACCTGCCCTAGATTCCAAAAACCAGTCCTTAAACCAGGGCAAAGGGCGTGACACAGCAGATCAGGAACCGCCCGAGGTTTTGCAAGACCTGGGGGGCAGGGCAGGGGCAGAGCAAAGGCACCTTCAGGACGGGCCTCCCACCCCCTGAACTGGAGCAGGGCAGGGTAGTGACGGGGCCTCCCCAGCACAGCCAGCTCACCAAGTCCTGAATGCCACGAAGGACACCCCAAAGCCCCACTTGGCACACACTTTTGGTGGTGCTTCTCTCGTAGTCAACCTCGCGCTCTCAGGTCTTTCTCAACCACCGATTGAGGGTTGTGGCTAGGGCGGGAGAGCCCCCGGCACACACCGGGCATGCAGGGGGGAGTCGGTTACTGTCGGGGCTGCCGGGGCTGCCGGCCGGTAACGCTTCACAGCTGAGATCACGCACGCTCCAGCGGGGAGCAAAGGGCGTAGGCCGAGCTGGATCCAGCCTGCTCGTGCCCCTCTCGGACACACGCCCTGCCCGCAGATGCCATGTCTTCGCCGCTTCCGCGTGTCCGCTAACGTCGCCCTGACAGCGCGGGGCCACTGCGGGTCGAGGGGGCAGGTCCAGGTTCGTCCCCCCTGCAGCTCACCTTGTCCTCCCAGGCCGCGTCGCTCCGCAGCACCTTGCTCCACACGGACACTCGGAGGGCCCCGTTGGCCAGCTGCGGCTGCGGCGGCTCCTCCTTCCGCCGCCCGCCGCTCATCCTCCCCTTCACGCCGCCCTTGGTCGGGCCTGGGGGCGCGCGGGCCCACCCAGAGGGAGTCGGCGGGTCACGGTGAGCGGCGCGGCGCTCCGGTCCTGACAGCGCGCGGCGGAGTCGCCGTCCCGGGTCGAGCCGTCAGGCTCCGCTTGCCCCGCCGAGCCGGCTCCGCGGACCGAGGGGCAGGCCGCGCGCCGCGTCCCCCCGCTGACGTTCCCGCGCAGCCAATGGACACCTTGGTGACCCGCGGAAGTGACGCACCGCTTCCGCCAGGAGCGCGCGGTACGGTGAGTCGGAAGGAACAATCTTGGGACGGGATGGCGGCGCTGTGGAGACTGAGGCCCGGGGTCTGAGGCGAAAGCGGAGGCTGCGCGGGAGCGCCGTCCTGTCAGCCCACAGCCCCTAGCCCCGAGGCGGCAAGGCGTTTCCTTCGCCTCTGGAGGCTGGACTTGGAGACCCGCGCCACGCCCCGGGAGCCCCACGGTGTCCGGCAAAGATTCAGCCGCCAAGTTGGAGGTGTTCACTCTTTTCTAGAACAGTTAGCACCTCAGCTTCTCGTTTGGCGGCTGTGAGCCCTGAGACCCCAAGAGGGGGTGGGGGGCCTTCCTGTCTGAGGTTCTGTGGTCAGCGGGAACCACCCACGGGCGGCTCGGCTTGCAGGGAGCAGTGCGGGAAGCAGAGTCCCGCTCTGGGTGTGGGGACGTCTGCGGTCCATCTGTCACATCCCGTGCTGTGCGGAGGCGCCCAGGGCCATCACTGTATGCCCTCTCCCCCACCCACCGCATGAGTGCTCTCGGGGCCTGGATACGGGGGCCAGGCTGGGCAAGTAGTGGCGACCTAACCTGGGGGGTCGCGACACCCTGCTTGGCACAAGCCCCGTGCTTTGCAGCCATCCATCTCGGCGCTTCTCCGTCTAGGCGAGGCTGGCTCTCCGGACCCACGTGGGAGCTGTGGGCGGGTGACACACTTCATTCAGCCAGCATGGTGGCAGCGGCAACAGCAGCCCCACAGTGCGGAGCTGGCTTTTAGGGGCTTCTCCAGTAGAGGCCACCAGTCAAGCAGCTAATGGGCAGAAAACTCATCTGCCGCTGTTTTTTAGGAACAGTCCTGAACCCAGTGTCGTGACTCAGCCTGTTAAGTTCCAGCAACCTACCAAACTGCAAGTGCGCATGCTTAAGCCCTGGGCAGTCCTGCTCTTCTGGCTCCTTCATGCCAGTGTCCTCTCCTTTTGACTGGCGGGTTTCCCTCAGCGGCTGTCTCCCGGCTCCCCCGTGTGCTTGTGTGTATTGGGGTTGTTAGCTGTATGAGTGCCACGTTTTGTTTATGCAGTCATTGACTCTCTGGGAGCTGCTGCATCTACTGTTTGTTCTGAACAAAGCTGCAGGAGCATGAGTGTATAAATAGGCTTCTGGGCTGGCCTTCAGTCCTCTGACTGGATGCCGAGGTGAACTGCTGGGTCCGATTGTCATTTAAAATGTTTTTTTAGGAACAGCCATACTGTTTTCTGTGGTGTCTCTACCTTCTTAGCATCCCATCCGCAGAGCACAGGGGTTGTGACACTTGACACTGTAGTTTTCTAAGAGCCCATCCTACAGGGTAAGAAGTGGTGTTTCCTGATGGTTTGACAACTACCTAAATGATAAGTTTTGAATATTTTTTCATATGCTCATTACCATTTACATATGGCAGAAATGTCATATTAAAGGCTTTGCCCACTTTTAAGTCTGGCTGTTGTTGAGTTGTAGCTCCCCATTCTGGATAGCAAATTTATCTCCCAGAGTGGGTCTGGCTTTATGGCCTCCATCTGTGACATCAGCATACCAAATGGGTCCAGGCTGTTCCATTTCTGATCCAGTTCACAAGTCCTTGGCCCCTGCACCCTTATGGGAGTCCCAGAAGAAGCTCCTAGCTCTCGCCCTTGACCTGGGCCAAACCAAACTGTTGTGGCTATTTAGGGAGTGAACCAGCAGATAGCTCTGTCTTTCGCTCCCTCTCTAGAACTCTACCTTTCTAATAAAATAAATCTTTGAAAAAGAAGGACAGGGTCCAGTGCCATGGCCTTGAGGCTAAAGTCCTCACCTTGCACGTGCCGGGATCCCATATGGTCGCCAATTCTAATCCTGGCAGTTTCATTTCCCATGCAGCTCCCTGCTTGTGGCCTGGGAAAGCATCGAGGACGGCCCAAAGTGGGAGATCTGGAAAAAGCTCCGGGCTTCTGGCTTTGGATCAGTGCAGCACTGGCTACTTGGGGAGTGAACCATCAGACGGAAGATATTTCTCTGTCTCTCCTCCTCTCCTCTCTGTGTATCTGACTTTGTAATAAAAATAAATAAATTTTTTTTTTTTTTTAAAAAAAAGGACAGACAGAAAGATCTTCCATCTGCTGGAACACTTCCCAAAAGGTTGCAACAGGGCTGGGCCAGGTGGAAACCAGGAGCTTCTTCTGGGTGTCCCACCTGGGTGGCAGGGCTCAGCTACTTGGGCATTGTGCCATTTAAAATTAGCAGAAGAAAGTCGGATCACACATGAAGCAGCCAGAACACAGTCTGGCATTCCTATGAGATGCCAGCATCACAGGTTGCAGCTTTTCATACTAAAACACAAATCGGCCCCTAAAGAAGTCTATGGACCTGGTGCAATGGCTCAATAGCTAAAGTCCTTGTCTTGTACATGCTGGGATCCCAGTTGGGTGCCAGTTTGTGTCCTGGATGCTCTACTTCCCATTCAGCTCCCTACTTGTGCCCTAGGAAAGCAGATGAGGATGGCCCAAAGCCTTGGGACTCTGCTGCTCCTGCCTGGGAGACCCAGAAGAAGTGCCTGGCTTTGGATCGGCTCAGCTCTGGACTTTGAGGCCACTTGGGGAGTGAATCATCGCACGGAAGATCTTCTCTGTCTCCCCTCCTCTCTGCATATCTGACTTGGCAATAAAAATAAATAAATTTTTAAAAAAATCAAACACATACATTATCTTTGAGCCACAGATTACTTCTATTTTTTTTTTTTAAGATTTATTTTTATTGGAAAGGTGCATATACAGAGGAGAGACAGAGAGGAAGATCTTCTGTCCGATGATTCACTCCCCAAGTGACCGCAACGGCTGCTGCTGCACGGATCTGAAGCCAGGATACAGAACCTCTTCCGGGTCTCCCACTCAGGTGCAGGGTCCCAAGGTCCTGGGCCATCCTCAACTGCTTTCCCAGGCTACAAGCAGGGAGCTGCATGGGAAACAGGGCTGCCAGGATTAGAACCAGCGCCCATATGGGATCCTGGTGCATGCAAGGCAAGTACTTTAACCACTATGCTATTGCACCAGGCCCACAGATTACTTCTTAAAAAGGGGGAGGGAGAAATATAGAGACAAGTGTTTGTAACATAGAAGGTTAAGCTGTTGCTGCAATGCCAGCATCCTATATGGGCGCTGGCTTGTGTGTCCTGGCTCTTGCACCTCTGACCCAGCTCTCTGTTAATGGCTTGGAAAAGCAGCACGGGATGGCTCAGGTGCTTGGAGGAGAGCTAGATAAAGCTGGCTGCAAGCTGCTACCTGGCCCAACATTGGCTGTTGTGTCCATTTGGGGAATGAGCCAGATGAAGTATATCACTCTTTGCTTTTTGTAAAGAAATCTTTTTAAAATGGCACAAGTTCTTTGTCATATTTATAATATGAATTTGAAGATTTATTTCAAAGATAGAAAGAGGGAGAAACTGAAAGTGAGATCCTCTATCTGCTGGTTGGTCAAATGACCAAAACAGCCAGGGCAGGACCAGGGGAAAAGGGACCCCCCCACATGGGTAGGTAGCAACCCCGATGCTCGGGTCGTCACCCTTTGTTCCCGGGTGCATGAGCAGGGACTTAGCCTGGAAGCACGGAGGAGGGCAGAAGTTGGCACTTAGCCACAGGATGCTGGAATTCCAGGTGTCGGCTTCACCTGCTGTGCCCCAGGGCTGCCCCCATTGTGAGGGTCCAGTTTTGTGACATTCCCTGTTCTTCAGGGGCTAAGGGGAGTAGCAGGTTATGGCTGGGATGTCCCTGGATCCCGCAGTGTGGCCCTAAGGGATACAGCAAGTTAGCCACTCAGAAGGCACCCGAGACCTGTGCATGTCCTCCTAGAGGTCCAGGAGCACCCACTGTCAGGGCAAGCCAGGGTGCAAGTGCTCGCCTACAGGAGACTTGGGGATCTGCTGTGTTCCTTCTTTTTGAAGGTGGGGTAGGCTGACTGAACCCCATGGAATCCTGGTTAAGGTAAACACTGGGCGGTCAGAGATGGAAAGGAAGTTGAGAACGAGTCTGATTGGGAAGTGGAAGACACACACATACTTGGAAGCAGGACAGATGTCATCACTGCCGGAGTGAACCCATATTCTGCCTGAGGGTGGGCCTTGCCTCCTGGCTGCTGGCACAGGGGAGGAGGAGGAACCTACACCATGAGGATAAAGTGTCTTGGGAGCTTTGTGCCCTGGATGTTGTGTTTTCTAGCGTGTTAGGAGCTCTCACTGGGCGTGGGACACTTTGCTAAATGTTTTCCTCTAACCCTGGCTGCAGCTTTCACCACTCACCTCTTTTACCTTTTGTTTCAGGTGTCCGTGGGCGTTGGTTCTAGACTCCAGATGGCCAGTATCCAGAGAGGCATACATCTTTTCCTCAGATCAGACGGTATGGTAGACTTCCCCGCTGCATTCTCAGGTCATGATCAAGTCAGGAAGCCTCCCCAGGACCCGAGGGGAAGCCACCTGGGGAAAGCCCCTCTTCTCACCTTGATTACTAGAAGGGTGCTGCTCTTTCTCAAGTTTCTTGAGAGGGGTGTGTGTGTGTGCATTGCCTCCTGCATCAGACAGGTGACTAGGTGACCAGGTGCCCAGGGCCAGGGCATCAAACCGCCCTCTGGTGTCAGTGAAGAGGGGAGATCCCTGGACGTGTGTGTGGGGGGATGGGGTAGGAGGACTGGGAATGTGCATTTCTGCAAGCTGCCCTGAGGAACTTCCTTCTCTGGGGAACTAGTCCTGATCCTGCCACTTGAAAGCCATGGGGTGGGGGATGTTTATGAATTATGTTGTCCCCTGTTCTGCACTGATAGTGAGCTGGGAGCCAGACAGTAACACACGGACGCTCCTACCCTGTCTGGTGTGGTGCCATCCCTGCTGGGCAAGGCCTCACCCTCCATAGCTCAGGCACTAACACTGGTACTTTGAGTGCTTGTTCATGCTGGGCCTGTCAGTTCAAGTTTCCAGCAGAAAAGTTTTGGTTTCAGTTCAGGCCTAAGAGGACATTTCTCCTTAGCAGGCTGTGCCCTCCTGAGGCCAAGGTCCAGATGCCAGAGGCGCAGGCCAGAGGCTGTCAGCCCATCAGAACCCTGCCCCAGTGGGGGATAGAGGCCTGCATAGACATGGAGAAGCCAGCATGGTCATCAGGAACCTCTTGTGCCTAGGCAACCCTGGCTGACAGGCCTGGCAGGTACCACTTGCTGCTGGCGGGGTGGGAGGGGCACAATGCCCTTCACTAGTTCCCGAGGGGCCTGGGCAGGCGGCAGTGACCTTGGAGCTAACCAAGCATGCATACCCTGGCCCTACTCTTAGGCTGGCTGGGTGAGTGTAGGCGATGCCGCTGCAGTCTCTGCTCAGCTTCTTCACCTGGGGTCTGTGTTCATGGCTAGGAGCTAAGGAAGGTCCCATGCACATGGTGGAGCTCACCCTTTACCACCAGTACAAGATCCTGGTTGACAGCACTTTGGCCTCAGCTCAACTTGGGTGGAAAGGGCACTTTCTTAGCACACTGGGAGTGCATCTCTGGGCAGCACCTACTTCAGACATGCCCGCTGTACCTGCCTCACTCTGCCTTGGGCAGGCTGCCTGCTGTGGTCATGCTACGGCTTCACTAAGGAGGCAGAGGATGAAGCTGCTGGTCCTCCCAGGATCATGGCCTCAGCACATGGCAACCCCAAAAAGCCACTCTTGGTTCCAGGAACGACTATAGTTGGTGGGCTATGGGATGGGGGTGGGAAAGCCAACACCCACCGCCTCTCAACGGGGCAGCCTGGGTATACTGAGCCTGGAGCCACTGGGTGTCAATCAAGAGCCCCGTTTCTGTTTTACAAAAACAAAACGACTTTATTTGACAGAAGACAAAACCAAAGTTATTTACAGTAGTTCTTTGCTCAAATAATTCAACCCGGCACCTGTGCTGTTCCTCCAGGTTCATCTTGCAACCAAACCCAAACAGGGGCTACCCCAGACTGACACCCCATTTCACGCAAGGGGGGAGCCAACCAGAATTCAGCAGCATGGCTCCCGCACCCCTTGCCCTGCCACTGTTTAGGACGCCCTTTGCAGTCACCAAGCATGGGACCCCCTCTGGCTGGGGCGTAAGAGGCTGAGCCAACAGCAGCTCCAGTGACCAGAGAGCAGCTGCTCTCTCTCTCCAAGACTCCATCTCTGGGGCAGAGGGGGGAGAGGTCAGGAAGAGGCAAGGCAGAGAGCACAAACCCTTCTCCTTGTCACCCATTCTATGCGAGCAGTAGAGAGGAGCCAGGCCACTTGGGGTGGGGGCTGGGGTGAGGATTGACCCAAACAAGGACAGAACAGGTTCTGCGGCCACCATCCTAGCTGGGCCCATCCCCATCCATCAATGCCCCGGAACCTGCTGAGGTCCCCTCTGAGCCTGACCAGGGAATGTCAGGGGATGACAGGCTGGGCCTCCTGATCTATATTTTGGCCCAGGAATAGCATTTGGAACAAAAACATTTTGGCTAATAACCTAGGTTAGTGTTTGTTAGGATACACTGGGATGGAAGACAGGGTTGGCTGCCACCGAATGCTAACAGCAACAGCCAGCAGAGAAAATGGAGTGTGAGGCCAGCAGACCGGGAAGGCTGTGGCAGGGGCCCCCAGACACCACTTTAAAGAAAGGTGCAGTCGACCCAGCAGGCTGGACACCACTGCCTCTCGGTGCATTCCAGTAAGTTCCCATTACCACCAAGGAGGCTGGACTGCCGCAGTCGGCCACTAGGTGGCTCCCTTCTCTCCACATAGGGAATGCTGGGGTTTCCCTTCTGGCCTCACTAACCCAAGCTCCTGGAGGAATTCAAAACTCAGGCTGCAGGGTGGGGGAAGCATTCAAGAATAAAGAAGGAGAAACATTACAGAGAGAAAAAAACAACTTGCTGCTTTAGTCTAAGCTTACTTTCCCACCCCTGCCCCCAAATTACAGGGAAAAAAAAAAAAAACCACCAAACACAGAATACCAAATGCCTCTCTGGTTCTATTCCACTTCTGTGTCCTGTGCCTGGCAGGTGTAGTCCACTGTGGTTGACTCCCTGGGTGGCTCCACCCCACTTGTGCCTGGTGCAGAATAGCAGGCACCCTGAACACCTTCTCTGCCTTCTTTTTGGTAAACCGAAAGCCTTGGGAACTTCAACCACCACAGAAACTAAGCTGGCCCTGTACATGGAAAGCCCTCTTCCTGGGAGGGTGTCCCCCAACCCAGACACTTTCAGTCCTCAAGCCTTGGCTAACTATTCCCGTAAGGCAAACCACAGTAAAAAGGGAAGAGAAACAGTTTGGCGAAGAACTTGACATTCAACTGGAGTCGGTTCTGTTCCATCTGCTGGTTTCCTCTCCTGCTCACTTTGTCAATGTGGCTGGTCCACACTGGGCTCACAGAAGCAGCACAGCGCAGGGGCCGCTGGGATCCAGCCCAGGCCCACCTGGGGCAGGTGCCTGGAGCCGGTGCCAGGAAGCCAGGTTCAACAAAGGAGTCCCAGGGGCTCTCTGGAGCAGCAGCAGCAGCACCAGGCCTGTCTCTACCTCCAGGTCTCACCTTGGAGAGGAGGCCCAGAGAAAAGGCCCTGCCCCAGGGCAGTGATGCCACCTGGCACCTTCCCCCGGAGACCTCTGGACAGAGGAAGACAGTTGTGACGTTTGGCAGTGACCCGGAGAAGACCCTCTGAATGGAAGGGAAGCAAACAGAAGCCCACTGTGGCAGCCTCGTGCCTCGGGCGCCCCTGCAGGTGTCTACTTGGGGTGTTCAGAGACCAGCGGCCGTGGGCTGTGCAGCAGTGGAGGGGCTGGGTGCTGCTGCTTCTGGAGCTCCATCTCTGCCGCCCTCTGCAGCGCCACCTCCACCAGCAGCTGGAAGCTGCTGAAGTCCTCCTTGTCCTGCTCCGGGGGCGTGGGCGGTGGAGTGTTGAACAGTCCGCCCGTGGGGCTGCTAGCTTCGGCCCTGGTCAGCAGAGTGAGCGTGCTGTTGGGGGTCACCAGGGGCTTGGCGGGCTCCAGCTCCCCCTGTGGGAAGGGGGCTGCTGGCTTCTCCCCCTGGCCTGAGTGGAGAGGCATGGAGCAAACAGACAGGGAGAGCACGTTGGCGGGGGCTGGCACGGACACGGCCAGTACAGATGGGCTGCCACCGCGTGGGAGGGCCACTTCGGCAGCCTTCCCTCCGCGGCGTGAGATGGTGAACTGATTGGGGTCTTTGCCATCCTTTCGAAGCATGTCCGGGAGAAGCCGCCGCCGCGCATTGATGAACCAGTTACATATCTGGAATGCGTAAAAGGACAGCGGTCACTCCACCAAAACCAGGCACCACACACAGGCTGGCTGTGCATTCCCAGCTACAGGGACACAGAGCTGACTACACAGGCCAGGTGCAAAAGTAGTTCTAAGTAAGAACTTGCACAGACAGAAAATTCCAACTACGTCAGCCCAGGAAGGACTCTGACTCTGCCCTCACAGCGAGGCCTGGAGGAGAGGTTTAGGTGGGAGGCAGTGGCAGGAGGAGCCATGAGAAAGGCCTTAGAGGGACCACAAACAACCTCTTGGGGTTAGGATTTGGCTTTTTGGCAGGCAAAGGAGGGACCTGTTATGACAACAGTCTGGGAGCAGGCAGACGGTCAGGCTGCATTCACAGGAGGCGAGATGTAATGAAGCAGAGAAGCTGATGCTGTAGGGACCACCCCTGGTGGATGCAGGGCTGGGGTTAAGCTGGCATTTGGGGCATCCACATCTCACATGGGAGTGCCTGCTTTGAGGCCCAGCTTTTCTGCCTCTGATCCAGCTTCCTGTTAAGCCAGAGAGATGCTGGGAGGTAGCAGGTGGTGGCTGGTGGCTCAGTCCCTGCCACCTAAGTGGACACCCAGATGGGCTCTGGCCTGGCCCCAGCCTTGTGTGCTGCAGGCATTTGGGAAGACCCTTCCCTTTGCTTTGCCTTTCACATAAGCAAAATCTGTATTGTATGAGAGCAGTAATAGGACTAGCTGCCTCCAACTGAAGGTATAGACAACCAACATCCCAAAGTCATTTTCCTAACTGCAGCCGAGAAAGCCACTGTTACCTGGATCCCCATCCTGCCCTGGATGCTTAGACCAACTTTTCAGGCTCTTCACATGAGGCCTGAGATGCATTAATTCACATTATATTAATTCACATGCATTAATTTACTTGTAAAAGATTTATATCCATAACTGGATGGGTCAGGCTGAAACCAGGAGCCAAGAATTACATCCTGGTCTCCCATATGGGCAGCAGGGGGCCAAAGAACTTGAGCCATCCCATTCTGTCCCCAGTTTGTCCTTGAGCACGAAAGCTGGACCTGAGCCAGGACTTAGCCCCAGACAGGTCAATGCTGCCCCAGGTCCTGCCCCAAACTTGCAGCCCTGAGTTCTCTAATAGTTCCTAGCTTCACAGCTTTCCAATCTAGCCTACTCCTCATTGGTTATCTGTCTTTTTAATATTTTTATTTAAAAGGCAGAGCCACAAAAGAAAGGACACACACACACATACGCATCAATCTTCCATCTGGTAGTCCAATCCCCAAAGTTTCATAACAGCCTGGGCTAGGGCAGGCTGAAGACAGGAGCTGGAAGCCTTCCTTGGGTCTCCCAAGTGGTTATAGGGGTCCAAGAACTAGAGCCACCCTCCACTGCCTTCCCAAGCTATTAGCAGGGGGTGGGATCGGAAGTGGAGCAGCTGGGACATGAACTGGTGCTCATATGGGATATCAGTGCCACAGGCAGGAGCTTAACTTGTGACTGGCCCCTTGTCAGTCTCTTTCTAAAATGCCAACAGCTGTCACTCCTTTTCTAGGAAACGGTCGTCTGTCTTTTAATACCTGTTGGCTGGTGGCTACACTCTAGGACAGGAGAGGCCATGGAAACCATTCCTGGTCAATGCCCAGCTGGCTCGTGGGACCCGCATGGCTCTGCTGGTTCCTTAACAGTTGTGCACCTTCTGTATGCCCCTTTGCTCCTCTCCACGGAAGGAGGGCCAACTCTGAGCAGCAGCAGGGTCAGTCTAACAGATCAGATGGGACCAAACAGAGGACATGGATCTCAAACCCACTGCAGTCTGCCTAGGGCTGATGTGGGTTAGGCACAGTCAGTCTTTCTGTTCATGTGACAATGTGTGACACCAGGACAGCTAAGTGCTCAAGAAACATGGGGACCCTGTTTCCGAACACCTCAAGGCAACAGGCCCCAACTGCCGCAGCACCCCTTTTCCTCTGTTCGCCACTAATGGCCTCAGCCCAGTCCTCTGGCAGTCCACCCAGACACGGCTTATGTGGGCAAACACTACTTCCCAAGCCCTTCTCCCTCCAACCCTCCCCCTGAGGGATCAGCATAAGTAAAAGGCTGTCTGCTCCCTTCGTCAGCACTCAGAAGCCAGAGAGGGGTGGGCATGTGGCCTGCTGGATGACACCCTCATCCCACAGAGGGGATTCTGGGCTCAGCTCCCCGGGGGTCTGCAGGGATGGCCCTACCTAGTAATTGGCATTGTCATCTTGTTTTGTTTTTAAAGATGTATTTATTGTTATCGGAAAGGCAGATCAGATTTACAGAGAGAAAAAGATCTTCTACCCGCTGGGTTCACACTCCCCAAGTGGCCACAGTGACCAGAGATGACCTGATTGGAGAAGTCAGGAGCAAGGAACTTCTTCTGGGTCTCGCATATGGGTGCAGGGTCCTAAGGCTTTGGGCCATCCTCTACTTTCCCAGGTCACAGGAGGAGAGAGCTGGTTGGAAAGTGGAGCAGCCAGGGCACGAACTAGCACCCATTTGGGATCCTAGGACTTGCAAGGTCAAGATTTAGCGACTGAGCCATTGCACAGGGGCTGTAATGGGGCCCCAGCTTAGGCCCAGCCCTGACCATTACAGGTCTTGGGGGCAGTGTGGGGGTGTCCCGGTAGATGGGGGCACTCCCTCTGCTCCCTCACTACAGCTTTTAGTGTTTTCAGTTCATGCTGCAGGTGGGGCTGCAGCTTCATTTGGGATCTGGAAACTGTCCCTGTGACACTGCCACACAAGATGCTGTTCAGTGATGATGACACTGGCCCACGGTTCAGGAGGGAGCCCTGAGATGCTGGTGTAGAGAACCTGGCTTTTCCCCACTGCCCATTAGACACCAGTGGTTAAGCGGAAGATAGTGCACTCCAATCTCTGCGCTGACTGGAGGCCCTGAAGGAACTCAGGTGATCCCATGGGTTCAGACATTGAGGCAGGACGTGGAGCTGTCTGCTAGCTGTCTCACTCATGTGCTTGTGTGGCAGTTAAAAACTCCTGAACCTGACACCATGACAAGGAACTGTGAGAAAGTTTGGGACATGATGCACCATCTCCCCTCACATTCCAGGCCTAGAATTGGATTTCACTCTTTTAAATCAACTTAGTAGAAACACAAGGGAAGCAGGGACAGATAAGACTTTGTGAGAACCTTTTTCTGATGGGTCAGGTTGAAACCTGACTGACAGCAGTGGCCAAGGGAGTCTGTGGGCTCACTTGTGAAGTTGCAGGAAGGGAACGCTGAGGCCAGCAGCCTGTCTACAAACGTCTCTTTGGCGACACTGGGGGCTTCCTTGGGGCAGACCTGCAACTCGTCTCCCTGAGAACCTCTGATGCCCCTGAGGTGCCCCTAACGTTCCCCAGAGACCCTCCGAGGCTGGCAAAGGGAAGACTACTGGGCACTGAGTCATCAGAATTCACCCTCGGGGCTGATGCCCTGAAGACTGCAGGCAGGCCTCTAAGGCTTGAGCATTGTTTGATCTGTTTATGGTTTTGAATAAAGCTAATTTAGAATTTTCTTAAAAAAGGCTTACTTTTATTTCATTGAAAAGCATGGTGACAGAAAGGATCTTCCGTCTCCTGGTTCACTCCATATATGGACAAAACAGCCAGGGCTGGCTGGGATGAAGCCAGACGCCCACACCTCCATCCAGGGATCCTGAGTTGAGTGGCAGGGACCCAAGTCTTAGGCCATTTTCACTGCCTGTCCAGGAGCATCAGCAGAGAGCTGGGTTGGAGATGGAGCAGCAGGGACCCAAAATGGCCCATATACAGGATGCCAGCCTCATAGGCGACGGTCTAATGTGTTGTACAATGCTGCCCCGCCCCCAAAAAACATTTTAAAAGAAACAGGAGGGGCAGGAGCTGGGTAGAGCAGGCAAAGTTGGCACCTGGGATGTATACATCAACAGTGGTGTGCAAGGTTGAGTACTCGTTACCTGGTTTCTAATTCAGCTCCCCACTAACATGCCTGGGAGGTAGCAGATGGTACAAGTGCCAGAGTTCCTGCTGCCCACATGGAAGACCTGGATGGAGCTCATAGATATCAGACTGTAGGTCCCTGGTTATTGAAGCCACTTGGGGAGGGGGTCAGCTGAAGATCTCTTCCTATCACCCTGCCTCGCAAATAAATAAAGGAATAAATCTTTTGAAAATGAAATACAGGGGCTGGTTTGTTGGTTCAAATCAGCTAATCCTCCACCTCCGAGTGCTGACATCTCATATGGGTCCCGGTTTGTATCCCAGCTGCTCCACTTCCCGTCCAAGTCCCTGCTCATGGCCTTTGAAAGCAGCAGAGGATGGTCTAACACCTAAGGATCCTGCACCTGCGTGGGAGACCTGAAGAGGCTCCTGACTTCCAGTTTTGGATTGGCTCAACTTTGGCCATTTTAACCACTTGGGGAGTGAGCCAGTGGATGGAAGATCTGAAGATTTTTTTTCTGTAAATCTGACTTTCCAGTAAAAATAAATAAACCTTATAAAATACAATCACCTGCCCAAGTAGGGACCAGGGCATGGGTATGGCAGAGCCACTACCAGGAGCCAGGGCTGAGGACAATCTGCTGGTGGCTGCTGCTTGCTGGGCCCTGGAGTCACAGGAGTTCCTCCTGACAGCTCACTAGCCTTCTGGGTGTACCCGCTGCCCTGGGCATAAGGAGCACATTGGAGGCTCGGCGGCAGGACTGGGGATGCCTGGGAGAGTGGGCAGCCTTCTAAGGGTCCTCCCCACCATGGCCAATTAGGGCCTCTCACCTCCTGTCACTTTCCCTTCCCAGGTGGACAGCCAACTGTGGCTGTGGATCGTTCACTCAGCCTCCAGGGCCCACCATCCACCCAGCCAGGAGCCTGGACCTGAACACACACGTGACCAATGTCCGTCTGTGCTAAGAGGGGGAGCAGGTGGCATTTCAGAGAGACTTCTATGGGGAAAAGGTTGTAACGGCTGAGACTTCAAGGTCAAGAACTAGCCAGCCTGGAGGAAGG